AATTATTGTCTTATCTTTTTGGTGTGTGATACCTTTTCGTATAATCCACAGATGGTGCCTGCCCCATAAAAACCCACCTCACAATTTTCTTTCTCCCCACTTCTTATCGAGAGAATTTTCATTATTCCCATCTCATTATTCTAACACATATATAAACTATTAGCACAAAATATAAATGACTATTTAAATGAGCATTTCATTTAGAGAAATGAAAAAGGAATTTCTCTGAAAACGAAAAAGAAAAAGTGAAACATGTGATGTGATGATCAGGTAGGGCATAACATAACAGTATCAAGACAAAATGCTTTAGGAATATTCATTTGTCCACACTCCGACCACAAGAACATCGCATTTGCACAAACTCCGATCTATAAATTTCTTATCGCAACAAAACAAAACGCATAATGCTAATTTATGGAGGGATAACTCCACTTGGTTTTCCCATAACGATTCTTTTTCTTGTAAAACCTATTTGAACGATATGATTGGTTTGCACTTTGCACGATGTTGATCTTCTGATCTATATGCATGGCTATCGAAAGTAGTGGTGCAAGTTATGTGATTTACGATAAAGAGATCGTCAAAATCTAATCTCTAACCTTTGCCCCACAGCTTAGTGGAAGTCTTTAGGTTCTGTGCACGAAATTGAACCAATGTGGTTTTGTCGGTTTAATTCCCACTTATTCTGTAAAATCAAGAACGATGATGCTCTATCGACAGTGACTTCTCTGGTTATTTTTCAAAGAACTCATATAATCATTAATCTTCTCTCTTTTTTGGGATTCAACATTGGAAAGAGGATCGTTTTAAATTTGACCCTTCTCAATTATTACAATTTCTTCAGGATGGATGGATAAAATTAGACCTCAGAATATGGACTTTGCACATTAAAGAACCCAAAAGTGAAGTATAGAAAATTCACGAATGGGCATTTTAATGGATTTGCTTTTTAATAAGGAGACAAAAAAAATTGTAATGCCAAAGGACGGTGTTATGATAATGTTATCATATTCCACAATGCAAAAATTCAATTAATCAGAACCAGATAGCTTTAGGTGAAGTAATGAATCATCCCAATGATCTATATTTATTCAACAAAGAAAGAGAGACTTGGAATGCAAAACAACATGGAAATTTCCAATTCTTGCTTTTGGTCTGAGAGATTCAAAAAGAAGAAATCCTCATTCTTCTACTGGCCTTTGACCCAACACAGAGATGTCTTCATATCGTTTCTGCGCGATGACATGAAAATCATTGTGAATACAAATATATAATCATTATCTTTCACATATACTCACACAAGACAGAAAAATCAGAGTGTTGATATTAGAACTACCTAGCACAAACCATAGAGGGAGAACTAGACACATTCCAATAGAAGCTAGAAAAGGCGAAGCAGGAATCAACATTTAAAATAAATAAAAAAAAGATATTCGAAATTAGCTACTTTCTTACTCTAAAACTAGCATTCAACTATTAACTAATAACACAAATAACACTAACAACAAGCAGAGAATGCAGAAGATGATTACGACGGTACCATGAAACCAAAGAAGTGCGAACAGAAAAAAAGGAGATCATTCCATATCTCAAGATGGGCAATACAGACTTACAGAGAATGAAAAAACAATTATTACCACCTAGACTCTCTAGTTCAAATGACAGGAAAATATTAACATCACCAATACTAAACATTTTGGAAAAAATTGTTAACAGAAAGCATTTTCTCAGATAAAGGTATATCACAGTCAAGTTCAGATGCAAAAAGAGTTGCAATCATTCTTCATCAACACATTTAGACAGCAGTTCAGTATCAGATTGCATAAAACATGATTCAGAATACACAAAGATAAACATACCCCAACATTGTTGCGTTCCCAGAGCTTATGAACACCGTAATCCACCGCCTGCAACCACAGATTTTAACATTTCATGTCAATATAATCCCTTGTGAACATCAAAATACCACAAATGGCAAAAATCAAAGTTGAGATTGCAAACTTCATTATCTGCTTATGAAAACCCCACAAGCATCTATGCATCCCCAAAAACAAACAATTTTTCAATCAGATTCCTCTCAAAAATGCACAAAAACTATAATCTCCAGCTCTCTATTGTAAATCGCTTAATCTATCCTACGAAATTTCTTCATTAAGATTATCATTTGACAAAACCAAAATCCCCAATTTCGTTCCAATCAAACCATACACACAAAACCAGATCCGGAACAATACGAACCCTAATCACATATAAAACAATCAAAAAGGCTTTGATCTCTTACCCGTTCGCCGAAAAATGCGCCGGCGATGATGAAAGTGACGTAGACGGAGTTACGGCGCATGATAAGCTTGTAAAAGCCTTCGAAAGCGCCTTTCTGATTTCTCCGAGCAGCGTACTCCATGATTGATCGTTTGTTTTCAGGTTTCTGATCTCTCTACGTATTTTAGGGTTAGGGAAAGCGATCTACAACAATGGCGAGAGCGAAGAAAGAGAGACGATGAGAGATTTTTCGCAACAAATCAGAAATGATTCTCTTTTGACTAGTTCGTATCTAGAAAGATCATTTGGGCCCAGTGGCCCATTAACTAGATATCAATTTTTGAGTTTTGGTTTGTCCCAAACCCCCAAGGAAATTCAGGCCCAGAATAATTATTCGATTAAGTAGTTTGGATTGGGGAATTTGAATATTTTTTTTAATGTTCGTATATTTTCGAGAAGTATAAGAGCATCTCCAATAGTAATGTCAGGAGGAATGTCTTAAGATTAAAAAATATAAAATAATATAAAGTAGGAGAGAGTGTAGATACAGTTTCTAGTTTGAGAAATTGTGTCTCTACTTGTCCTTTTATTATTGGCTAAATTCTTTTTTTATAATTTATAATTTAAATAAATAACTTATTTATTATAAATTGATTAAAATAGTATTTTTGAGACATCCACACAATGTCTGATGGATGGAGATGCTCTAATAGGATGTTCTTCAAGAATGAATATTTGAGTGTGAAAGATCCATAAAATTTTTGGAAAGATTTAAAATAAATGTATGATCATTAGAAAACTGTGATTTTATTTACCTAAGGTTCGCTATGATTGGATTTATTTGAGATTATAAGACTTCGAGTTTGTAAGTGATTATAACTCAGTCTTGTTTAAAAGTGCTTCCAAATTGGAATTATGTAGAGAAAAAATCATGGATGCAAATAATTTAGAAAATTACGGATCCACATAGTTCCAATTCGAAAATATTTTAAATAAGGCTGAGTATAATCAATTATAGAATTGAAGTCTTGTAATCTCATGTCATATGAGTCCAATTATAGCGAGCCTTAGGCAAAATTACAGTTTTCTGATGATCATACTTTTCTTTTATATCATTCCAAAGGATTTGTGGATCTTTCACATTCAAGTACTCATTCTTGAGATCCTCATGGAGGTGATGTCGAAGGAAAATCATAGATTTGATGTCTTATTCCAATGAATAAATGTCATTTATATAGGAATACAAAGGAATGATTTTACTTGGTGACAAAGTAAAATTTCGGATACAAATAATCCTATAGACTTCTAGAAGATGGGTTTTATAATTGGCATCCATAATGAATAAATGTCATTTATATAGGAATACAAAGGAATGATTTTACTTGGTGACAAAGTATCAACTACCTTAACCCCCTGAAATCTAAGTAAGGAGTTGAGTTGTTCCATCTAGGGAGAAAAGGTAAGTAAAGCTGTCTCTTTGAAGATGGGTTTTATAATTGGCATCCATCTATTATTCATAACAATGTTATGTGTTGTGGGGTTTTTTCTTCACGGGCAAGTATTTTTTGGGTATTTGAGTAAATTACAAATATAATCTATAATCATAATTCATACATATATTGAATTCGTTGATTTAGGTATTTTGGTACCCATAAGCAATTTTCACATAAGAACTCATACATGTGTGTGAAAAACGAAAACTAATCAAGGTCGTCGTCGTTTCTTGATTCTTAAGTAACATGTCTAACTCATCGCCCAAGCATCCGTGGTCTAGTAGCAGAGGAAGCTTTGGGAAAGGGTGAAACTCCCAAACCTGAGTTCGATTCTCCCTGGAAACAAAAACACATTTGTTTGGGAAGTCTGTCAGTTGGGCCTTGACCCAATTAGTTTACCTGGTAGCCAGAAATGCAGGCGGCCTGACTACCCCTGGCACTTAGTCGGAAGGCCTTTCAAAACCCGGGATAGATAGAGTGGTAGCCCGTAAAGGCCTAACCGTTAACACGATGGACCAGTCCACTATGTAGCACCTCGGTGCGTTCCTACCGGGACCGACCGGATAGCCGATAGGGTTTATCAAAAAAAAAAAAAAATGTCTAACTCATCGCGTTGCTATGTAGTTACATGTCTTCTCAATAAGTCCGCTCTTATCTCTTTAATCGCGTTGTTACATAGTTACATGTCTAACTCATGGCACAAAGAGATATGCCAAATAAAAAGAATAAATGTTGAATTGGACTTATAAGAAGCTAAGAACATGATTGGGCATGTTTGGGCACATGCAAAAAGAGCATTAGGAAAACGGGCAAATGTCACATTCGTGCAATTTGATATTTTGAAAGAAAGAAAAAAATGCTGATTCAAAATAAGTCTTGAAGGTTTTTAACACAAACAAGAATCCAAAAAGAGCTAACCATCTTCTAAAATTTAGAGTGGAGCACATTGCAAATACTGAAATTTGAGAAGGGTGAATATTAGCTTCCATTGAGATTTATGATTTACAAATATGTATGTTTATTTAGATACATAAAGATATTACTTTCTATATGAATTAATTTTACTTCTATTTTTTAGTTTTGATATCTTTCTTTCTTTTTCTCTCTCTCTCTTTTTTTTTAACAAAATTTTGATATCTTTCCAAACTTTTTAAGTGTTTTCTTTAAAAACCTTTCTATATATTCCCTGGAATCCTGGATATTCAGATAGTTGTAGAGTATATATATACATGATATGGACGGATCGAATCAAGAATATCTAAAAAGATAAACGCAAAATCCGTTCTACACTCTCCCATATGGACAACTATAGGCAACTAAACACACTCTAAGCAACTTGCAATGTTTCATAAAGTTATGAGTAAAATGAGTGAGAATATATCAACAATGTAACAATAGTGCCTTATATTATTATTGAGGAACAAGAACCACATTTATAAGTAGGTATCTTATTATATTAGATTCAGCGTAAGATCAAGCAATGACTATGTAACCCACCAGAAGCCGAAGCAGCTCGCCTAGCTTCCTCTACGAGAGCAGCACGTGCAGACGATATTCCGGCAGGGACTAGACATGTGTCAAACGTTGAACAATCGATCCAATCCTTAAGTAGCTCTTCTTGTCCCCATATCTCAGGTATCCAAACCCTACCGGCGATCTCTCTCCGGTGCTTCTTTAACCTCTCTCTCCCAGTGTCCACTCTCTCTTCTTCATTCTGTTTCGGTTTCTCTTCAGGCAAAGCTAGATCTTTCTTGTCGGAAACATAAGAAGCTGCTTCGCTGGGCAAACTTGGCGGATCTTGTTTGGTTTGGTCGGAAAGAGGCTGAGATGGACCGATCGGATGGGCCATTGGAGACGTCGTATCGTCGATGTTCATCATGATTACACAATAGATTCTTGGAGGAAACAAAAAGATGAAGAGAGGTTGTGTTTGAGATTCGGTGTTGATAATATGTATTTTTTTGTTGGGTTATGTAAGGAAATGAGAAAATCGGGTGGGAGGTTGTGTTACACGTCGACGTAAGTTATTGTTTGGTGAATATAACTTTTTTTTTTTTGCTTTTGTTTTATTGTATGGTAAGTGACAACTTTACGTGTCATTTTTTGTAGATTGGATTGCTTTGGCCCTTAATTTTTGGAGCCTAAATAAATAAATAATAATCAATATAGAAATTAAACTATTGATTAGATATTCCTATTAAGTGTATTCTAATTCAATATATTATGTTTTTGCAAGTGATCAAGTCTTCACATATGTTGTTAAATGATTTTTTAGGTAAAACTCTCAATTAGAGGATCCTTTTTTTTTTTTTGAACAAACTCAATTAGAGGATCCTTAAGAGAGAAGAAGTCATTTTGAATAATCGTGTGTTTCGTCGAGATTTCTCAAAAAAACATAGGGCATTTATTTTGAAGAATCTTTGGTTTTCATTCAAAATGAAAATATGTAATTAAAGAGATTCAGGTTTGTTTTCAACTGTTAATATTTAATTTGAAATATTTTTGACATCGTACGTAATTCGTTAATATTCGTTTGTTATGTGGTTGATGTTGAAAGCGGTTGGATTTTTTGGGAGGATCATGAGGCTGATGTTGATTTAGGATTTATTCCATTGAAATATGTTTAGGTGGGGATACATCGGAATTAATTGCTCCCGATAATGAAATCTGCAAAATAGTTATTAAAAAAAAATGTTTCTATTTCTGTTTCTGTTTCCAAACGTTTAATCAAATACAAAATGGCGAGAAAAAACAAAACCAAAATGGCTACAAAATTGATATATTATATTTTTGGAAATAAAATAAAATTTACAAAATGATTGACATATAGAGGCTGCAATGTAAAAGTACCTTCTCACGTGTCGGTATACGGAATTCATTTGTCTCTTCGAAAGCTTTACTTTTTCTTGATCAACTTCTATTTTTTGGTTCCCTTCGTTACATATCTCATGGCCTCCCCTTGAATATGTTCACGTAATTATGTGATTAATTTGAGACTGTGCGCTTACACTTTGATCCAGCAAGAACTAAAGAGTAATATAAGAAATTTAATGCAACTTTCTACAGAAACCATATACGTACCATCAAATGAAATATATGTGTGTCCATATATGACTGTGTGATGTAGATGTAGAATTAATATTTATTGAGATGGAATATTGTGTGTCGTGACTCATTTTGGAAGAAGGAAGAAGGATATATTTAGTGCAGACGTTAACATTTAACCACACTTTGAAGCTTGATCTTATATGGTCCTCTCGCTTTGATATTTTCTGAAATAAGTATATGTAGACGTAAACTCGTGTGATGCGCAAAATAAAAAATACATAGCGGTACTATGTTTTGAAAGGAATTAATTATCTTTGTTTGTAATCGAACATCACCAATTAGACTATTCATCACCAAGTAATAATGTCATGCTCAAACCCTATTATTTTTTCAATCGAATGTTGAAAAGTCTGATCCTTGAAATTGTCGAGATCATGTTTTTAATTTTTTATGTCTTAGGTCTCTCTATAACTGGACTTGCTCCGGGTCGAAACTCTAGTTTCAATTTTTTTACTTTTTTTTTGTTAAAATGTGTGTTTTTTTTTGGTTTTAAATGTTGAGCACCAGGAGATGTTATTTACCCAAATATATGATTGACATAAATTGTATTTTCATACAAATTAGTTGATCTATCGTACAAAAAAAAAATACTGTGAATGGTTTAACCAACAATAATATACATGGGATTATGGGAACCTCCAAAAGTCTTGCATCCATATATAATTTACCCAGCTAGGTTCATAAATTTTTAATAATAGCTATTTGTTTATTGAGAAGATGTTAGATATATATGGCTGATGTACAAAACCGCGTTTTCACAGCAAACAAGAAGTCGTCAAAGTTTGACTTCAAATTTATTTATTCACTAAACGTTTGATTTTGTCTGCTTCAATTTATATATATATACACCACTGGTCGTCATGTGAGGGAGAAGAACAATGAAAATGAAGAAAACAACCACACAAGCTTTTCTTCTTCTATGTTTGCTTCATATATTTCTATGTCTATCCTTTCAGGCTCGTGTCCACCAAGGTCAGTCTCTTCTTATTTTTAAGCAACGTTTTGAATGGTTGCAAATTTGCAATTGACGGTATTATTTTACAAACTGATTAGTTCGTGCCTTATATTACAACCATTTAAAACCCTAATTATCTGTTTTTTTCGTCTATTTAATCTCTAATTATAATTGTTAACATGTTATTAAAAGGTAAACCTGAGATATGCGTAAGACCCTCCCCACCATGTGGAGATTCTCCCAAGGGAGGTGAAGATACGCCGGCACGTGATTATAAAAAGCCTTGTAAACCCATTCCAAGACCTCCTCCTCCTCGAGATTGCTAGCAACGACAAGCCTACCACATCTATAACATCAATGTTTTGTTTAGTAACCATTCATCGAGACTAATTTATTTGCACGATGTACCAATAATATCGCTTTAATTATGCCTTGTTTCTTTCAAAACTTCTATGTATTTGTAGCAAAAAAAATAACTAAAAGATGAGAATAATAAGGATGTTGTAGAGGTTACGTAGTTACTGGTAAAATTCAATTGCACCCATAAGATTGATTTAAAGTTTTAAACAGCCTAAACCATTTTATTTTTCTATCCATTTATCCAAAGGCAAAATCTTGAAACAGAGTGGCAGAGACTGAGATTTATCATCTGTCAAGTCAAATAACATTATTATAGTACTATAGTAAAATCATTTCTAACAACCTATTAATGAATCACCAGAGAGGCAATTTACATAGCCACACCAAATCATTCCTTCTCCTTACATTCAACAATCTTATGTAGAGTGATCAAAGTGGGTCTAGAGGCGAGGATAGCGAGAGCGACCTTTCTTCTTCAAGAACTCTGGGATCTCTATGGAACTGCCTTCAGTGAATGATGGAGAAGGACGTCTTGTGGCTCCCACTGATGCATCCGCTTGCGTCGCCTGTATTTTCATGTAGCATTAAGAGAGATTACAACCGAAGTCTTGTTAACATTTGATGTAAGAATCGGCTATGCTGTGTGTGTCGAGGGAGACAAGTGAATACCTGAAGTGGCCTCCCTTCTCCTTCTTCTTGGCGTTTGAAGCCGGTTGCTATTAGGGTAATACTTATCTGACATGACGAAAAAGTTTTTCAAATAAATTAAGCAATATGGGTATCTCAGAGACTATATGTTAGAAGAAGATCCAAGAAAGAAGAATACTTACTTGACCACTATAGGATGGATCTACCACAGCACCAAATATAAGATTCGCTGTAGGATCAACGAGGTCATAAATCACTTCTGCAGCAGCATTTACCTACAAATCGTTTCCCCGAGAGTCAAAATAGAGCATCACAACGTTATAAATAACATGGGACTGAAGTTCTTTTCTAAATTGTGTAGGGAAGAAACCAAGTGATTTCTAGGACAGGAAATGGACTGAAAACGCAGAGAGGGAGAAAGACCTCGAACAGTGTTAAGTCACTTCCACCGGTTATATTCCAAACAATTCCAGTGGCTCTCTCAATGCCAATATCTAACAAAGGTGATTGGATCGCGTTTAATGCAGCATCTCTTGCTCGAGTCTTTCCTGCTCAAATAACAGTATTGCCTGAAAGAGTAAGCATGATGATGCAACCAAAACATAGCACTAAAATAGTTCAGTAGACCAAACATTATTAGACTGGTTCCTTTGTTACGGTTAAAGAGTGCCAAATCTATAGTCAAATTAACCTACTCAGCTACATCTGTAGTACCAATTTTCAGTAAATTGAATACTTAGCAATTTAGTTAACAAACATATGCGGTTTACAAAAAAAAATAAAGTTAACAAACATATGTATATAGCGTCACCTATATTAGTCACGGGGTTCTTTAAACTGCCTTCTAATTGCCCTTTGTTACTACGTAATCGTGCAGCAGAGAGAGCCTATCAATAAAATAGATTCAAATCCAAAGAACACTCTACTCTTACCTGTTGCAGTTCCTATTCCCATCAACGAAGAACCTGCATTTGCCATTATAGCCCTCACATCAGCAAAATCCACATTGACCAATCCAGGGATCTGCAATGCAAACAAAAAAAAGACACCTGTTAGACATTTTATATAAACATGGGGAATAAACACATTACAAAGCCATACCGTAATGATATCAGATATTCCACGGACTCCTTGACGAAGTATATCATCTGCCAGATTAAATGCTTCTGTAACTGGAGTAGACTGAGAGACTGCTGCTAGCAACTTGTCATTTGGAATAACAATGAGAGTGTCAACATTATCTCTGAGGGCTGCAATCCCTTCCTGAGCCTGGACTGCTCTTCTCCGTCCCTCAAATGAGAAAGGCGTTGTGACAATACCCACCGTCAATATACCCATCGCTTTTGCAACCCCTGCAATTATAGGAGCCCCGCCTGTGCCGGTTCCACCACCCATTCCAGCCTAGAAAAATAACAAGACATTTGGCTAGCAAAGCTTGCAGTGACTTAAAGATCTAATCTTACATTAAAATCTATGGAGGCAGCAAATTCACACTATAACCCATAATTGGTGGTACTTTAACCCGGAAAGTATTCTATGATCCAAGACATAAAGCTCACTTGTAATCGAAACCGAAACCCACCAAAAATTCAATAAAACCGACATAATATTGCAAACAGCGAATCTGACCCGTAAAACTTCTCATTTGTAATCTATATTTTGCTATAGAAATAACTAAAAGTGAAAGTAATAGTGATAGACATACTGTGACAAAGACCATATCTGAACCATAAAGCGCTTCTTGGATAGCTTCTTTGCTTTCTGTAGCAGCATTCATTCCAATCTCTGGATTACCTCCAGCACCTAAACCTCTAGTCAACTCCTTACCAATCTGTAACCTATTGTCTGGGAAAACCGGAGACATTCTCATTGCTTGAATATCGGTATTTACAATCCAAAACTCCACACCAATCATCTCACTCTCGATCATACGATTCACAGCGTTTGAACCACCACCTCCAACGCCAATAACTTTTATCCGTGCCTCATTGTAAGTGTTTGGAGTAGATAACTCATCCAAATCCTCAGTAATGGGAACACTAGACGTTTCTTTTCTTGGGTTGAGCATTGATATCTCAGGGTGGAGATTCAAGAAAGAGTCTTGGCTTTGGAAATGGCTCGGACTATGAGAATTCAGAGAGTTTCTAATTGACGAAGACTCGGATTTATGAGCAGCAACAACTCGATATCTTTTAGTACCATCACTCATTCTTAAGCAACCAACCCTGGTGCCTAGATGATTTTCCGGTAACACACTCTTTCGAAGAACAGTGAGCACCCGAGAATCCGGAGGAGTTAAACAGGGAGAAACATAAGCTGCCATTCTGAAACCACAGAAGCAACCAAAGATTTTTCAAAACTCCAATTTCACTGGCGGGTTTTTACTAACAAAGACCTGTTCACAAGAGGTCAACGTCAAGTAATAAACCAAGAAGAACATAAACGAAAAGTAACATTCATAATCTACACTCTACAGTATTATAGTCGGAACTCAGTTGCATCTGAAGCGAAGATACTTGTAACGAACAATCAAATCAACAAATATTACAAAGAAAAACTATAAAAATTCATTGAACATAAAAACAAAAGCAAAATCAGTAGCATCATCTAAGATAATGCTTCAATTTGAATCAGAAAACTGCAATTGACGCACCGTACTATTATAAAATAACGATATTGAAAATGGGGAATTCCAAAATTTTGTAAAACAGTACACGAATACAAAAAAAAAAAAGCTAAGACATTTCGATGATTGCGCAGAACTACATTAACATGTAAAAGAGGAAGAGAACCTTAGCAGCAGCAGCAGAAGAGATTTCGAGCTACAAATAAAAAGAAAAGAAATGGGAACCAAAATGAATGGAGGGTTTTTGGTGTTTTCTGGGCTCAGAATCTCTTTCTCGATCACATAAAAGTGGATTATGATTTTGATTTTGCTCCTAATTTTAATCTGTTTCAGTAACTAAATTCATCTGTTAAGTTGGTGAAAAGAGACAAAAACGTTGGCCGACGGGAAGAAGGCGATGAAGAAAATGAATTGTTTAATAAATGGGCCCAAATGTTTTCTTAAAGCCCATATAACGTTTCGGGCCTTTAACAGTCATACGAAAAATTTGCACAGTTGAAGGGATCTTTGCATGACTAAAAAAGAGGTAGTGCTCATGTAGACCAGATAACTGAACCATGAATGATGAACGTTAACAAGCCACAATTCTACAATTCAACATTGTTTGTTTGCGCTTACATTTATTTTCGATGCCATCAATTGTGCTTGAAACAATCGAAGTCTGAGAGTTCCGCTATCTCTTTTACAGTGCCAGGCCAAAACTCGTTATTATATCTTCTGATCAACTTATGCAATTGCTCTAATTGTAGCTATACGCAGTCCAAAGTTCACCTCTATTACTTCCTCTGAAACCTCAATAACACTTTCAAGCCAACAATCTTATTTTTCTCCCCAATTGCTAAGGAAATTCCGCTGATGGCAAAAAGTTCATCTTACTACTTTCTCGCTAATAGAACAACCTCAAGCCAAACGACTCACACACTTCTCTCTACTCACTTTTATATCAATATATCATCGTAGTTGAAGCAACCTAAGTGGCTTTAATCAAAACATCTTAGTTCTTAGTGACTTCCTTCCCATAACACAATTGGCCTTTAACAAATCAGAACCATTCTAAGCTCTTCTAAGTTCAAGTAATCTACACTAAAACTGCATTCGTTTAACACATGTATGCTCATTTTTGTCACCAAATCTAATTCATGTCAAGCTGTCACAGAGAACCACAAAGGGATGAATATAGCATAAACGTTTCGAGATTTCTAATCGAAAGAGATCTATAAGAACATCAAATCCAATTACTTAAACCACATCAACAACAACTTCCTCTAAAATTATCAAAAAACCTTTACAATGTCTCAGCTATTTCACCACAAACACTTTTCAAGATTTCACATTAAGCTACTCCGTAATGGCACCGGAAAGATCAACAATCCATCTATCAATATTCGAAAGCAAGGAATCAAAAGATAACGAGAAGCGAAAACAAAGTATAGATCAAGAAACAGGCATACGATATCAATCCACGGTGCTCTTCTCCTCCATCAGCAAGAGACACCACCAGATTAGAACAAGCTCTAGTAGCCCACAACACGAACGCCGCACCGAGCACAAACCGAACCGGACCTGCACCTTGTGGCAAAAACAACGACACCGCCGACAAAATCACAACCGGAAGCAGAGAGTAACCAACTAAGCTCGTACAAGTATGAAGATTAAGATTCCCATTTCGACCAGCAAGCATATTGAAGACAATGTACAAGAAGATAGACGAAACAACAACCCAACCAAGTATAACACCAAACTGAATCTTCCCAGCGAGAAGCTGAAATAAGCAAAGCGCAAGGTACAAGAAGATCGGACCCGAGAGATCTGAATCTTTGTGAACAGTCTGATTAATCCTGAAGGGATTAAGAATCGATCTAGTTTTCTTCCAGATTTGATCTGGATGGATACCGAGCTCGTCGAGTAAAGGCTCCTCATCTTCAAACGAAGCAGAGACTCCTCTACCGAAAGATGAAGAAGAAGAGATTGTTCCGCTGAATGGTCCGGCCGGCATTGAAGTGGCGACGGAGGATCCGATTTCAGACGGCATGAAAGGGATTGAAAATGAACCGGGGGAAGAACGTGGTGGTTGGTAAGGAGCTGTGGGAACTCGGCGTTGCTGAACATTTGCGGTGGCCGGAGATGATCCACTGGGAGGGAAAACAACCGGTGGAATTGGGAAATCCTTCGTCATCCTCTTTGAATGCTTCCACCAATTTGAGATCCTTAAATTCAGATCTCGGAATTGAAGAGAGGGATTCGAATGTTAGGGGTTTTTCAATCGGATTTGATTTGAGAAAGTGAAAATTCCAGTATCAGGCGACTTCCTGATGTGTAAGGGCATTTTCGGTAAATCAGTGTAAGTGAGTTACTAATGATTTGGGCCTTATAAGGGCCTTATCAGGCCATTAATTTGTAGTTTCGAACAGCCATGGGTTTAACTACTGATTACTTAAAAAGTAATTTTAATGAATGATTTGATTGTTTAAGCAACAAGGTCGTTGTAGTATAGTGGTAAGTATTCCCGCCTGTCACGCGGGTGACCCGGGTTCGATCCCCGGCAACAGCGAATGTTTTTTTTTTTTACTGAAATCTTAACCATTTATGAAAGTCATTTTATAGAATTTGTATAAATCAATGATCCGGGTTCGATCCCCGGTGACCCGGGTTCGATCCCCGGCAACGGCGAATGTTTTTTTTTTTTACTGAAATCTTAACCATTTATGAAAGTCATTTTATAGAATTTGTATAAATCAATGATCAATAGATTTATTCGAAGTTGCCTTTCTAAAGTTCATGATTCTCTCTACTTCTTTTTCTATCAATCTTAGCTTCCTTAATTTGCAATAACTAAAAAAACATTAGCTCACTCAATAATTATTTAATTAATGGTAAAATGTGTAAAACAAACACACTAGCAGAGTTCAAGGTGGCTGGCTTCATGGCATCGTCAAGCGTTTTGTCATACCGAGTGGTTTACCTCCGCGTTGGAACGCGTTAGCCCTTGGATCTTTAGATCCATTTATCCATTTTTCAGTTGTATTTTCTTATTTTGTTGTTTTTCTATCCGGGTGTTGCTTGATGTTCAAGAAAGAGCAGCCCGTGAGTACTTTTCTTCTCATGTAAGTTTATCGGTTTCTGTATGGCTTTCTTTAGCAGAGAATCCTTTATCCGTAGCTTAATAAAATGGTGTTTGAGGAAAAAAATAAATTAACATGTCTTCTCTAAACTTGAAAGTATTTTGTTATTTTGTTCTGTTTTTTTAGTGTTATCTTGATCTCTACAAACTCAGATTTTCTTAATGATGTTTTGCAGAGTTGCAATATTATTACCTTTATTTTTTTCCTCACAATATTATTACTTCCAAGAGTAAAGATTATGAAGAGCAACTGCAAAAATATAATTTGCATAAGTTTTTTTTTATTTTTTTTTGAAAAAGAATTTGCATAAGTTGAGAGTGTAAATGGTAACATGAAAAAAATATTCAGCCAGATTCAGCAATTCCGCAGTTACCATTTGCATAAAACTAAATTCAGCCAGATTCAACAGTTTTTCCAACATCAACAGATACATAGTATGTTCATTTCAGATAAAAATTTGGATTATAGCAATTCACAACTCGAATTAAAATATTTTTGGTTATTAAAAATTACACATCAAATTTATATTTTAAAATAAGTTAGATCATACAAATACGATATATGAATAATTCATACACATAAAATCATTACCAGAATAGATAAGAAACATATTTATGTTCAGATATCTATAGATAAATTTAGATAATTTTAATAAATTTTAGATACTTAAATATAATTTTCCAAATTTTTGCAAAAAATAACTCATACTTATGCTAAAATAATATTTAAAATATCAAATTAAAAAAATTGTTAATCATCCTAATCATATTAAGGATTTAAACTACTAGAGAACAATGAAAAATCAATAAGATAATCTATACTATATTATCATGTTTATTTTTAAATTAATTTTTCAATAAAACTTTGACAAAGCTTTCTATTAATTAATTATATCTTTTTAATAGTTCAAAAATTAGATTTGGAAGAACAACTCAATTTTGCTAAAAAGATATTAATTCTAGTATTTATTTATTGGTATAAGAGTTAATTAGACAATTAGATAATTTTATCTATTTTATTTAGATATTTTTCTTTAGTTATTCTATTAATATTCGTAATTATTTGACGATATTTCAGTTAAAGTCTTAATTATTTTTACAGATTCTGCTGAAAAGCACAAAAAAAATCAGCTAGATTCAGCGGTTACCATTTGAAAATGTAAAAATTCAGCCAGATTCAGCTAAAAATCACTAAAAATTCAGCCAGATTCAGCAATTCAGCCGGATTCAGCCAGATTCCTCAATTACCATTTAGACCCTGAGAGTCGAAGATATTATAACATCGTAACTCAAACCTATAACATATTGTCCGGTATCAAGCTCTAGGTCTCATAAATAAGAAGTGAGGAAATATAATGATTGTAGAAATTGAAAACCAGAGGTCCATAATTAATTCTGACGTCAGATGATGATGCCTTGCATGGTCTTCCAAAGAGATTTGGAGTAATCATAAATCGGACATCTCTAAAACCTGAGATTTCAAAGTTGACTTCGAGTTTGCCTTGTTTTATGATTTATGATGATGATTCATTTCGGCCAATTATATCATGATGGTTCTCGTCGCCTCAAATTTGTTTTTTCACACAAACACTCGAGTTCGATGCGACATCTTTCTTGTTTTTCTAGTTTATTTTTCTATAACACGTTTTGGTTTTCAAGAACAGACCATATATGTTTACTAATGTTTTGTATCCGTATTTGACATGTTTATAATAGATGTTAAGTATTTGCAAAAAATTGTCTATTTACGCATTATTAGCTCCGTTTTATTGCTTGTTATTTGTGAATTACTTGTGGGATTTTTACAAGTTATTTCTAGGGTAATTGTGAATTACATGTCTGATCAATCTATTCGTTTGTAATCTAATTTAAATTAGATATTTCTATTAAATAATTATATATATAAAAGAATTATAAAAGTAGTTGACATAAAGCTTATGCAAGCAATGAAAAATCAAAAGACTGACAAATAAACAAAGCCAATTATTTATTTTTTATGCTTCTTACTTCACTCGTAATTTATGGCTTAAAAATGTAATAATACATGTTTTTTGGCTTAAAAAAATGTAATTTATGTTATTCACTTATATTTGTTTTTCATAATTCATTAGAAACAAAGACAAATGTCAACTGCATTTAAACTATTGTATCTTAATAGGGTATAGGGTATAGGGTATAGACGTATAGTACATAATTGGTAAGATCTAAGTAAATAAACTAATGGAAAAAAAAAAGAAGCAAGAATTAATGAATGGGCTCCAACAATATTAGTTTTTTTTTTTTTTTTTTGTCTAAAGCTCCAACAATATTAGTATGTCCTTAAATTTATCAAGGTTTTGTTTACGACAATATGTAAAGAATTTAGTGTCATTATAAAAGTTTTAGAAACCAAATTATGGTAGTCCAATTTGAAAATACTAAAGTTTTTAATGAAATGTGAAGAATTGTTTTTTTTTTTTTAAAGGTGAAATGCTGTGACTTGATGTTTATGAAGTAGGAGTAGAAAAAACAGAAGTCAAATAAGATCAGAACTCGTAGTTTTATTAGTTTTTCAAACGAAAATGAATAGTTTTTTGACTAATAAAATTGTAGGGGGTGTGATGACGTCCCATAGAATCCGAATGAAAAGCCCCTTGTCTCTCATGTCTCTGCACATAGCCGCTTGAATTTCACATGACACCTTGTGCCCTCCTTTTTCTTATATTTTCTAAATATAAAATCGATATCCAAACATATATCGGGAAAATTAATTAGTTTTTACATAACAACTTTTTTCTAACTTTATATCCTAACAGCCAAAAAAACTTTTGATATAAACCTGAGTGACTTAAGTTTATCATTCATATTCAAACCCAAGAGTGTATATACTGTATGTGTAAATTGTAGATTATCATCGATTTTGGTGTATTTAGAGCTATACTATTTTGATATTATCCAATCTGAGGTTTTATCCAGTATAACTGTTGTTGAAGATAATGATTTACATGACCAATATTATCAACAACTAGTTTGAACCATAATAATTAAAATGTTCAGATGCACATGGCATAATAATTTAAATCATTTCAATTTAGGATGTTAGGATAAAACTTTCATCACGTGACTTGAACTTGCTACAACACAATTGAAGTTGTTTTCTTCCTCATTTCCTCTAGTATCCTTGAAAATTACTTAAAACCTAATTATACAGAAGTAATGCTTGCTGAATTAGAATCAATTCAACGATGTAATTTTCATTTACTCTGAAAATGCCATGGGCAAAATGGTCAAATATTTCTTATTCTTGCCAAATGATGTAGTTCTATATTGAATGTTTTCTGTTCATGGTTATAAAAGAAATTGAATAACTTGTCCCCATTTTATACGATACATTAAATTGATTGATATGCACTCGACAATATTTGATAAATAGAGCAAAGGTACAAAATGTTAGTCCAAGAATCAACCATATCCTAAAGTCCCAACCCCACACCGGAAGATCTTTAATTAACATAGAAAATAGAAACAAAAGTAAAAAATATGACTGAGAAGACTAACGGAGAGACACTGTCTTCTTGTAATAAAACAGAATCTTCTTTTCATAATAACTACTACAGTACTGGATACTACTTATCTTCCCTACATTACACCAAACAAAATAAAAATAATTCCAAAAGGTTGGGTCTTCTTCTTTTCCCTACGAATTCCAGCTCTTTTGCTCTAACACGTCTTCTTGATTTTAAATCAAGATTGTCCAGAAGCAGAGCTTGATTTGTTGTCATTGTTTGATCCATTATTAGGGTTCTTAGTTTTGGAGAGTTTTTGTTTGAGTTGAAACAAAAGCTGTTGATTTTCTTGATTCAGAAGCTCAGCTTTCTTCCTCAGCCTCTCGTTCTCTTTCATTATGTAACAGTTTTCTACATACAGCTTTGAGTTTAGCCTCTCCATTTTTGCTTTCTTGCTACAAGAAGAAAAACAAAATTATTGTAAGAATTTGAAAAAGAAAAGAGAAAAAGAGAGTAATAATATCAATAAAACCAAAGCTTGTGTTATGATTATTATTCATGTTAAATCATTACATCACACATGGGTTGTGCAGCTTCACACGTCGGATGTGAATTACATTAGGGAAAATTATTTGTCGCATTTATTTCGTTTTCATGTGAATTTTTTTTTCTTCTTTTTATGAAATCAATGATCAAAGAGAGAAGAACATGATTATAAATTTGTATTGAGGATAAAAAGATAAAGCTAAGAAAGAAAGAAAAGGATTGAAGAAAAGAGATAAAAACAAGTAATCATGATGATATGCAGTAATTATAAATGTTTTAACCTCTATGGACAGAGAGAGTAATGATTATATGTGAAACGCTGGTAAAAAACAGAGTAAGCAACGAAACAAAGATGGTGATCGTAGCAATACAAACTATAAAAGAAAATATCAAACAAATTTTTCTTTATTTCGGTTGCCCTTGTCTCAAAGAAAAGGATAAAGATTCACTTAAAATTTTCCATCATTGAGGAAAATATTAAAGATAAAAGAGTTTTACATGTAAAATAAGGAAAGAAATCAAGGGTTTGTCTTCACGTTAGTTATACGTGTAACGTTACTACATAACTATTGTCTTAACGTATGAACGCAAAAGCAATAGAAAATTAGAAACAGAGCAAGAAACAGAAACAGAGTATGTAGAGAAGAAACCATATCTTATGGTAAATCATTTTTTGAAAGAGAACTCACGTAAAACTTCTAGAACACAAAGAGAGTGAGAGAGAGAAGGAGAAGAAAGGTTATACCTTTTGGGAAGAAGTGTTGAGAAGCAGAGTTAACAAAGAAGATTGAGAGAGAAAAGAGAGACGCTATTTTTTTGTGTGTGTAGAAGGTAGAGGGACAAAGAGAACAAAGTGAGACACTGTCTGTTATATAGATCCCCAAAAGCTAAAGAAAGAGAGAAAGAACCTTCTCTCTCCTGACACAACAATCATGCATTGTGTTGTGTTTCTGCATAGATGGCGGCCGCGAGAAGAGAGAGAGAGAGAGAGGAGATTTGTGCATATTGCGTCATGTGAATGATGATGCTATATTAAAGAGAAAGAAGTTAGAGAGAGAGAAGTAAAAAAAAAAGAGTTTTCTTGCTTGCTCTTCTTTCGAAATTGATCTTTAGGGATATTTTCGTAATTCCCAAGGTCGCCTAAACCCTTCTCGTGGCTCTTCATCGTATTCGTCCTCTAAACAGAAGATTCGGTTCACAGAACTAGAGCGAGGGTATTTAGGTAATTGTGGTGGAAGTGGTCAGAGAAGGGTATTATTGTCATTTTATAGGATTATGAGAGGGCTATATTAGTTAGTAGAAGAGGCCATCGACCTCTAAAGATTCGCAATGATGGTAAAGATTGGTTCGAACCATCATCCTTCATGATTCAATTTCAACCGTTTTGGACCATTTTTAAATGCTCTCTTTCCTCAACTTATGTCCCGGTTTGCTCAATATTGGTTTAGTTCAATATTACACTCCACAATGATTATGTTTTAGATTATTATTTCGAATACAAATAGTTTCCTTTGTGTGTTGTTAAAATTTTTATTTATTTTGTAAAACATTCGTAGTAAACCACAATTTCAAAATGCAAATTTCTTTTTTTTTCCTCGTATATTGTCTCAGCATTCCTTATTTGGATAAAGATATGATATAATTATGATAGGAGAAAAAAAGAAAGAGAGAAATAATGAAGAAGAAGAGTATTTGGACTTTGGAGCCGTAAAACCTACAAAAAAAATAATCATGGATCATAAGTGTTGTAGAACGTGAAACATCATAAACAGTGAGGTGGTTGTTTTTGGATGTATTTATGACTCTCTTTTTTCTTTTCGTAACTTCACATGCCTCCGTTTATAACTCGTTCGTTTGCCCATAATTTTAAATTTACCACCCCTGAAAAGAAGATGACTACAATTTCACGTTTATGTAAAACTACTTTAATTTGCTTGTGTATATATCTTATAGTTATACGGCTTCTTTAACCTTCTTTCGCGGAATAAATGTGAGAAATTGTGTGTTTTTTTTTTTCAAAAAGATTTGTAATATGTTGATTTTAGAAGTTAAACAAACTGAAACACAATTAGTATTAGGTAGGTGTGTCTTGAAATGGAACTAAAGAGTGGGTGCACTTGCCTATACCCAATGTTCAAGAAAGCGCTAGGCGCTAAGCGGGCGGTGACCTAGTGCCTAGCGCCTAGAACGCCTAATCGGGGCCTAGGCGATTTTTAGACGGTTTAGACGTTTATAACATAAAACATTATATATATGATATTATATATAAAAGCTATATAAAGTATCTATATAAAACTAAAAATTATGAAAATATAAACAAAAACTAGATAAAACATCTATTTATATTTATATTAAACAATGTATGAATATTTATAACTATATATACATAAAAAACTTAATTAAAATTGAAAAAATACACTAAATAAAATCTATGTAATTTTAGGCGGTCAAGGCGGTTATCTAGGCGTCGCATAAGAGCCTAGCGCCTAGTCGGGGCCTAGGCGACCGCCTAGACCGCTTTTAGAACACCAAAGGTAATGATTTTAAAGGTGTAAGGAGGCTTCGTTTCTTGCTGGCGTGTGCAATGGCGTTTCTGCCCCTTGATTGCTTTGGTCTAAGTTTGACAATTTGGTTTGGTGTCGGTTTATTTATAAATGAAATTTGGATTTTATAAAAATATTTGGTTCTCGGATTGATTTTGGTTATCTATAACCCATTCGGACCAATTTTTCACAACCCAAAATAGTTCAAAAAATCAAAATAATTAAATGAAACACTAGAAAATTCGAATGTCAAACGAGTGTTTATTATACTGGGGATGCGCCTTTACTTAAGTGGTTAAGTCCATTTGACTCCGCCTTCTCCACCGGAGTTCGACTCCACTAAATCGTGTTACTCCACGTAATAGGGATTAGCTATGGATCGGGCCTTGTCGATCCAAAGATGTCAAAAAAAAAACGAATGTTTATTATACTTGTTTCCAAACAAACCATTTGTTCTCTTGCTCCATAATTATGTTACTTCTTTATCATTTATATTTCAAAAACCTAAAATATTCAAATATTCTGTTTTGGTCACCCCCTATGAATGTAGTAAGTGTTTGGTAAAGAAGTTTTCCCTCTGTTTTTTAAAAGTTGTCGTTTTAACTGTATTTGGACAAATTAAGAAAATGTATACAATGACTATAATAACCTCATAAAAATGACAAGTAATTATTTACAAATAATTTGTATTCAATAAAATGAGGGTAATTTGGGTAGTTATTGGCATAAATTACATTATTACCTTAAAACGACAACTAATTTAAAACAAAAAAAAAAGCTCTAAAACGACAACTATTCAAAAACGGAGGGAGTATTAGATTACAATTCGGAGAAACCATATTTCGCTTTTGTTAATTGGAAATTTTAATTACTTTTTCCTTTTGCTAATCTAACCTTTTGTCTTTTGAATTTGATTGGTTTAATTTAGAAATAATTTGAAGGGGTACCTTGTATATTAATAGAAATTTGAAAAGTACACTGTGATTTTCAAATATTTGAAACATACCTTATTTGGTTCCTAAAATGACATTTTTGCCCTTAATCACTAATTAAAAAATCAGAAAATAAAAATACAATAAATTGATTAATTAGTTATATAAACTATATTATTTTTATATTAAAATTAAACTTGTTCATATTTAGAAAAAAAACGGATACTCAAAATATTTTAGAGAAAATTTGTTACCACATTTTTCGTTTTTTTTTTGTGATAGATATTTTGTTTTTAATTATTTTAGATCCAAATATTAGATAATGATATATTTAAGTCAGATAATATAAAAAAACAAAAAAAAAACTCAGAAGTCGATTCTCTTCAACGACGCCCGGCTCTCTCACCACTGTTATAGATATTTTGTTTTTTTTTGTTATAGATATTTTGTTTTAATTTTTTTTATTTAGTTAAGATTTAGATAATGATTAGTATTTTCTTAATTTGTTTTAAATTAAGAAAATAATTATATATTAAAGTATATAGGTACGAAAAAACTAAATTGAAATAAATTTATAAATTTTAAATATATAATAAAATATTAACTAGATTTATGGTTATTTAAATACAATATATTTCTTTCATAGTAATTACAAATATAATTATATAGCTTAAATTAAATCGTTTGAATTATTAAATTATTATTTGAAAATTATAGTCAAATAATAATTATCTAATTTTTTAAAAAAAAATCAGTAGTTCAAAAAGTCACAATGTAAAATATCAATGACCCAAAATATAAATCGACTGTTATTATATAAGTTGATAGAAAAAAAAATTAAGTCGATTAAAATAAAATTGAGAATATAAGTTGACAGTTCAAAAAGTCTACTTTATTAATAAATCAACGTAAAATATAATAAATCTTCCAAGAATAAATAAGTCAACGAAAGAAATTATAAAATCAACAATAATAATAAATAAGTCAACAGTTTAAAAAGTCGTCTATGTAAAAAACCAATCAACAAAAAATATAAGTCGACTGTTTTAAAAGAAATCGATAAAAAATAAATTTAGTCGACGGAAATAAAATATAAGTCGTCAGTTAAAAAAATCGACCTTATTAATAAGTCAACGTAAAATGAAGTAAGTCTATCATGAATAAACAAGTCGACATAAAAAAATTATAAACCGACGAACAAAAATATTAAGTCAATAGTTAAAAAAAATCGACTATGTTATAAATCAATGAGCAAAAATTTAAGTCGACTGTTTTAAAAAAAAATCGAAGATGCAAAAAATTAAGTTAACAGAAGTAAAAAATAAGTCGTTAATTAAAAAAGTCTATTTTATTAATAAATCAACATAAAATGAAATAAGTCTACAGAAAAATATGAAGGAAAAATATAAATTATTATTTTATTTATTATAAATTATATAATATAAATTACTTCTTTTTTTAATAAATTATGAATATAAATAATATTATCAACAATATTTTTTTTTATTCAAAATTTTAGATTAAGATTAAAGTAACCATTGTAAATATTTTTTAAAATATTTTTTCATTATATTTTATTATTAAAAAATTAATTACGTTTTTTAATTAAAATTTTAAATTATATCGATTTAATTTTTATAATTTAAAATTAATATTTAAATAATACTTAAACTATTGTAAAGGGTATTATGGTCAATTTTTAACCAAAAAAAAAGTAGTTTTCAAATTACTATAAAATTGGGTGTAATTTTAAAATTTCTTATTATATTTAGTATATTTCTAAAAATTCCCCTTTAATTTATCGGGGTCTCCTTCATAAGGTTTAAAGTGCGTTCATATTAGACTGCATGCAAACATTATCATTGCACATCTTAACCTTTTAAACGTAAATCTTAAATATATTAATAAAAAAATTCCGGGGAAGAGCTTGAACAAAGGAATATAGTCCATTTATTATAGATATATACATACATATAATATGGTTAATTAGATCCACTATTACAGTTGTTTGTCAATTAAAAAAAAAAAATTAATGGAACTACTACTGAAGTAATTGTCATCTAAATATGGATAAATATCGACGGCGACGCTCACGATTCAACAAGCAAATCCAGTTTGATATGAATTAGCAGTGTGCAAAAAATGTGACAAGGATCTGAAAAGTTGAAAATCAACCAAGAAAATATAACAACTTAAAATATAAATGAGTTATAATCAAAACATTTATGTGTCATGTTTTGATATTTTTGTCAATACTTAGTAATATATATAAGTACTCTAGTATCTTCGATTCTACATCGACATTTAACATAATAACATATATAATCAATGATGAGGCACAAGTCCTAACAACATTCAAGAACACGAACCGAGGCGGTCTAAATCTTACAAGATGAATCGGCTAAGAGACTGGTTAGCCAAACCGAATCCTTTTGTACCGACACTTCATCGTCGTTCCTCTGCCATTCCCAATGTGCATGAGTAGCATTCTCGACCACCAATTGACCATGCCCGAAATTTGCTTCTCTAAACATTGATATTTCGTGATTTGGATCTTTATACCTACGATTTATAAAACATCATCAAAAACATTAACTTTTAATTAATTTCACAAGACTTCTAAAGAAAACTCATTTAACTAAGATCTTACTTTCTAGCAAGGCCTTCTAGATTGCCACCATCTCCGATGTTAATATAAACCGGACCACATTTGTCGAACTTATCTTGGTACACTCGACTCTGTCAAATAAATCCACAAATTAGTTCTATATATATCCAAAATAAATAATTCTTTAAAAAATAAGAAAATGAAACCCTTCGGACTTACAAAACGCTCGTAAGCGTGGACGTGACCGGCAAATACCAAATCGACGCGTGCTTTATAAAGAAGAGTTTCCATGGATTCTTTCATCTTCACACTCTCTTTCTCTCCTTGGTGGGCTTCGTTGGAGTTGTACCAAGGCGCATGCACCACAGCCACAACCCACGGTGTGGTCTTACGGTCGATTTTTTTGAGATTATTTTCCAACCATTGGTACTGCTCCGAGCCAGGCTCGAAATCTGTGTATGACCCCAACATAATAATGTGGACTCCATAAACGTTGAAGGAATAGTACAAATTTGAGGTCGAGCCACTCTCTTCAAATGGCATGCGCCACCTGTCATGTGTATACAACAATATCCAAAATTAGCATAACAATAACCCCCTTTTTCATCAACTCAATTTATAACCAAATGTAATAACAAAGTTCCTTTAGTAATAAAAAGTAACACCATAATGAAATTGATAAAACCAAAATTATTACAATAAATAAGGTTTGGCAAGCTTAAAAAGAAAGTAGGTTTGGTTGTTGCCTAGATGAATCGAAATAACTTACCTCTGGTTATAGGCGGTGAAGGTGTGATGGTGTAAGATAGGTATTTTCTCGAGCTCGTGGTTGCCATGAGTGACCATCCAAGGTCTTTTGCTCGCAAGTGGCTGCACCAAGCGACCAAAAGTGTCCCACAACGGTTGGTACGAGTTAGCGTATGACAGATCACCAGGCAAGATGAAAACATCATGATCCCATTTTGATACATGTTCCAATGTTGATTTAGTCCATTCAGATGTCCCAAGGTCACCTTCATTTTTGAACAAATTGTTCAAGATTATCAACAAAATAACAAATAAAGCTACAAGACCATGATGACATAAATCTGTACTTAGTTAAAAATGACAATCTAAAGAGTTTATATGTAGAAAGAGGAAACATGGAATGTGTACCGGACACGGCAAATTTGATTGGGAATTTGGAGGGAGGAGTCCTGAAGCTGAACTCTTGAGTTGAATTTGGGCCTCCACATTTGTAATAGTAAACAGTATTAGGCTTTAATGGGCCTATAACCACATCATTAATTTGGCCCGATCGGTAAATCAACAAGTAGTGGTATGTCGACGACGTTCCATTAGCCGAGCCTTCGTATTTTCCGGAGACTGTGCCATATACAACAGACGGCATGATTGAGCCTTGCGTAATCCATGATATTCTCATTTTGTCCGGCCCAACCAGAGATATATGCACCTGAATTTAAACGTCACAAATTCATAAGTAACTTGAAAAACAAATTAATAAAAGAAAAAAGACAAAGCGTACAAGCAAAACAGATGAGTGACGAAAGATCTAACGGAAAGAAGACAAAGTGGGTGAATTTTACACGTGCTGATATGGAAATTAGGAAATAAGTCACATGTCACACACACGTTGCGAATCTCTGAATTATTTGCAACTTAAACTGTTTTTGACTACTGTGGAAACGAAAATTTATCAAACTTAGGAAAAATCTTTTATTTTAAAATTTTAAGGATTCTGAATAGATTCTCTAGAGACTAGATGGGATGTTTCCTTAAACAGTTATCATTAACTATCTATCTCAAATTTTGAAAATGCTAATACAATTTTTTTTTTTATGTATATATACTATAGTTTGAAAATGTCCTCATAATGTCTCCATTCAACGTTTCGTAATTAATAAAAGTGCGAGTACAGTGTCGTTTCAAACAACATGTATAATACAGTGTATACATAGGTCCTAGGTGTAGATTGTAAAATCACCCCTAATTATGGCAATGCTTCCTTAACGTAACTTAGTACACGAGAAAGAATTTTAACGGATCATTTAACAATTTTTTGATTTGTTAAATTTTTACCATCAAAAATTTTTAAGAGACAAAAGTACTGAATCGAATAAGCCGAGGAGGCGAAGAAGATCCTAGTTTTTCTTAATATTCGTAATACTATGGGAAAACTTAAATCTCCTGCTTATGTTTGAAAACTAACACATATCAATTGTGTGAAAGACAGAAAATCTTGAGACTTGCCGTGTCAAAATTCTACTCAAAAGGATTTATATAAATGATACAGAATCCAATATCTATAATATATAACCCAAAATATAGATTTTAATGTAAATATTACCTGATCGGGGGACGTAGGATCATCTTCGTTAGACGGATGGATCACTAAATTTTTCCGAGTACCCGGCCGATCATAAGACAACACATTTCCGGCCAAAACAATAAGCAATATGGCCACTAAACCCAAAACCTTCACCATTCTGGCGATGGAGAGAGAGGGAGAGAAAAAGGAGATGCAGAAAAAGAATGAAGGGACATGGTGTTATATAGTAAATCCTTCCCCTTTCTTTTTGTTTTCGTTTTGGAAACTTGTAAAATTGGAAAATGTATTTGACCAAAAATTAACTAATTATTTGGTACTTTTCCATTAACTCATCAATTAAAAAAAAAAAAAAATCTGTGCTAGCAATTGCAAATAACGCGAAGGTGGCATGTTCAAAACCTGCATGGAAATAATTATGTTTCTTTTTTTTTTTTTTTGTTAAAATAATAATTATGTATCTTAGTATATTCGAGAGCGGCATATTTAAAATGTTTTACACTGGCAAAAAATATTGATCTTTATATACCATATATAAAAGTTATGTGTTCTAAAACGAAAGTTATGAGATATGTGCTTTGCTAGATTATCTAGTAAAACAATGTCTTGCCTTCTATAACAAATTATTTTCTTAAAGACATTTAGATTGACTTTGTCAAAAAATGATTCTAAGAGTAATAAATATAGATCCAAAATTTAGTATATACTATTTTTGTTCCTAATAGATTGATGTTTTAAGTTTTTAACTTGTTTCTAAAAAATTATTTTTTAGATTAAAAAACTGAAATAATTTTTTTACTTTATGCTTTTTGCTACATGTCATGGTAATTATGGGTTTATACTTTTTCTTTCAACATAAAGTAATTTTAATTTAATTAATAAAACAATATTATTTTTAATATGTGTGAGAAATCTAAAACATCAATCTATTAGGAATAGAGAGAGTACTATATAGTGATAAAATGTAGATGCAAACATGGTCCATTGTAAATTCAATAACTTTAAATAAAAATATCTATTAAAATCATGCAAATGAAATTAATATAGATCAAGACTAAGAGAATTAAGTAATATATACTAAGATTTTAAATAGTCATATACAAGCAAATCATTTAATAAAGAAATATTTAAAATTAGTTGAATAATGACTAACATTAAAATTTACAAAGCACCAGATTTTATGCTTGTAAGTTATCTATTAAAATCAATTTTCTTCATTATCTAATAGTATATAATATATAATTTTACAAAATGATTAAATTAGGAAAACATGTAGATAAATTTAAAAAAAAAACACAATATTTTATGTTTGTTATTTTTCTTAGTTGAAAAAAAATTAAAGTTCTTACTGGAATATATATATATATATATATGAGAAATTGTTAAAAATGCCCCTTTTTCAATACCCCTTTTCAAAAATACCCCCTTTGAGAGTCCATTTTTAAGTTTGCCCTCTTTTAATTTTTAATGACCATTTTACCCTTATTTGAAACAAAATTAGGTCCACAAAATACAAAATATTTTTTGGCGGGAAAAGTGATCCCGCAATTTTCCCGCCAAAACCCTTGTAAAAACCTTTAAAAAACCTTGTAAAATTTTCCCGTAAAAATTTTTCCCGCCAAAAAATTTTCCCGCCAAAAAATTTTTTTTGCGGGAAAAGTGATTCCGCAATTTGTTTTGCGAAATTTTTTTGGCGGGAAAATTTTGGCGGGAAAAATTTACAAGGTATTTTAAAGTGTTTTTTACAAGTTATATACAAGTGTTTTGTAAGGTTTTACTATGTATTTTAAAAGGTTTTGCAAGGTACTTTTAAGGTTTCATTATGAATTCAAGGGTGGTTTATCCTTATCTTACCCTTGTAAAACCTTATAACTTGTTTAAACCTTATAAAATAGCTTGTAAAATCCTATAATATCTTATAAATACCTTGTAAATACGTTGTAAAACCTTTTAAAATACATTGTAAAACCTTATAAATACCTTGTAAAAAACCTTTAAAATACCTTGTAAATTTTTGGCGGGAAAATTTTTCCCGCCAAAAATTTAACGCCAAAAAAATTGCGGAATCACTTTTCCCGCAAAAAAAATTTTTTGGCGGGAAAATTTTTTGGCGGGAAAAAATTTTACGGGAAAATTTTACAAGGTATTTTAAAGGTTTTACAAATTTTTACAAGTGTTTTGGCGGGAAAAATTGGGGGATCACTTTTCCCGCCAAAAAATATTTTGTATTTTGTGGACCTAATTTTGTTATATTTCCTTATATATTTATGATATCTTTTATTAAAAGAAGGGTAATTTAGTCATTTTGTACATAAAAGGGGTATTTTTAAAAATGAACATACAAAGGGGGCATTTTTGAAAAGGGGTATTGAAAAAGGGGCATTTTTGTGAGTCTCCCTCTTTGATTTTTGAAATGGAGCTAAGAGAAATTTTTATAAAACATAGGGAAATTCACATTCGGAACAAATGAAAAATATTTTTTAAAAAAACAAGATATAATAAACGGTGATTAACAATCTTGTCAACATATAAATTCAAGAACTAATTTTGATGTGCAAGATCGATTAGAAATCGCAAACACATACTTAAAATTGCATGAGATCTATAATAACAATATTTGAGAAGTGTTTTTGCTGACGTGTCGGACTCTCGGCTCTTGTTGAGCCCTTAATTTTGCGTAATTACTTAAATACCTTCTATTAAATTAATTCGAATATTAATTAAAATTAAAAAATTAACTGACCCTAAAATATAAAAATTCGATATATTTTACATTTAAAAAAATAGTAATATTCTTAAACACGAAAATATGAAAAAAATAAATAAATTTGGATCAAATGTAGTTTACATACCTTTTTTATGACGGTTTATCGTTCGACCAAGAACATCCAATGATTAATCTCCACCAATCTAATCATGGTCGTGAGTCACATACAATTACGTCGGAGAAAGGATTGGTCGTGTCTTCTTATTTTCTCTTCCTTTTCCGTGTTTTTTTTTTCCTTTTTGGTTCTTTTTTTTTTTCAACAAAAGATGTGTCTCATAATTAATCGTTTAATTATATTTTTGATATATTAATGGTAAATTTATGTTGTGATAATTACGAGCCAATTGTTTTTAAAAGTAAAATTTACTTTTCTAAAATATATAGATATTGCCGATAATATCAAAACAACTATCATATATTCTTTAAATTCACAAATCTGATAAAATAAAAGAAACTTTCTTTTATCTTTTATACCGATAATGATGGTGTATCTAAATAAATGTCAAATATAATTGTAAATCTAAAAAAAATTATGTTATTGTTCCATTATTTAACAAATAAAATAAGGAATATTTTTTTATAATTAATATCCATAGTAGTTATTAATTGTTTTTAGGAATATTAATTGTTTTGATAAAGATTTGATCTAACACAATATATAAATCTTCATTTCTTGTTGTTGTAATTATCTTCAAAAATTAAAAAAATTAGATCGTACACCGCCTTTCAGTTTAATATAAATACCTTCTCTAGGTTTCACTTTCAAATCATAACTAACCCCATTTTTTTTGTTTTTTTTTTTTTTGCGTTTTATTTTATTTGGCTTTACACATATGAATTCATGGTGTTTATGTATTGTTATAGGTTACGGATGCAACGTCGTTAAATAATTCCAGGACAATTAAATTGTTGATTCAATCGAACATATGGTGAGCTTTTCACTTTAGTACTTTCATGTTTAATATTTAAATTATGCTTGGTGTATTGAGAAATCTATAAGCTTTCCCATAATATTTTGCGAGCAGCTTAGATTTCATATTCTTCACTAAAAAAAAAAGAAGCTTTGATTTTGTATTTACCATATTCTTCACTAAAAAAAAAGAAGCTTTGATTTTGTATTTACATAATTTGATATCAGTTTGATTATTGGTTCCATCATGATGCAAATTACGGCCTCTCAACAACCCCAATAGACTATAATCGTTGGGAACTCTTCTTTTTCTCTTGCTTCTCTCTGATTATCTTTCACCAGGAGTCTCAATTAACAATATTTGAGAAGTGTTTTTGCTGACGTGTCGGACTCTCGGCTCTTGTTGAGCCCTTAATTTTGCGTAATTACTTAAATACTTTCTATTAAATTAATTCAAATATTAATTAAAATTAAAAAATTAACTGACCCTAAAATATAAAAATTCGATATATTTTACATTTAAAAAAATAGTAATATTCTTAAACACGAAAAAATGAAAAAAATAAATAAATTTGGATCAAATGTAGTTTACATACCTTTTTTATGACGGTTTATCGTTCGACCAAGAACATCCAATGATTAATCTCCACCAATCTAATCATGGTCGTGAGTCACATACAATTACGTCGGAGAAAGGATTGGTCGTGTCTTCTTATTTTCTCTTCCTTTTCCGTGTTTTTTTTTTTTCCTTTTTGGTTCTTTTTTTTTTCAACAAAAAATGTGTCTCATAATTAATCGTTTAATTATATTTTTGATATATTAATGGTAAATTTATGTTGTGATAATTACGAGCCAATTGTTTTTAAAAGTAAAATTTACTTTTCTAAAATATTTAGATATTGCCGATAATATCAAAACAACTATCATATATTCTTTAAATTCACAAATCTGATAAAATAAAAGAAACTTTCTTTTATATTTTATACCGATAATGATGGTGTATCTAAATAAATGTCAAATATAATTGTAAATCTAAAAAAAATTATGTTATTGTTCCATTTTTTAACAAATAAAATAAGGAATATTTTTATATAATTAATATCCATAGTAGTTATTAATTGTTTTTAGGAATATTAATTGTTTTGATAAAGATTTGATCTAACACAATATATAAATCTTCATTTCTTGTTGTTGTAATTATCTTCAAAAATTAAAAAAATTAGATCGTACACCGCCTTTTAGTTTAATATAAATACCTTCTCTAGGTTTCACTTTCAAATCATAACTAACCCCATTTTTTTTGCTTTTTTTTTTTTTTGCGTTTTATTTTATTTGGCTTTACACATATGAATTCATGGTGTTTATGTATTGTTATAGGTTACGGATGCAACGTCGTTAAAAAATTCCAGGACAATTAAATTGTTGATTCAATCGAACATATGGTGAGTTTTTCACTTTAGTACTTTCATGTTTAATATTTAAATTATGCTTGGTGTATTGAGAAATCTATAAGCTTTCCCATAATATTTTGCGAGCAGCTTAGATTTCATATTCTTCACTAAAAAAAAAAAGAAGCTTTGATTTTGTATTTACCATATTCTTCACTAAAAAAAAAAGAAGCTTCGATTTTGTATTTACATAATTTGATATCAGTTTGATTATTGGTTCCATCATGATGCAAATTACGGCCTCTCAACAACCCCAATAGACTATAATCGTTGGGAACTCTTCTTTTTCTCTTGCTTCTCTCTGATTATCTTTCACCAGGAGTCTCAATTATTATTATTTCTTTGTATTGATGCGATCAGAAGTTTTATCTCTTTTTTTAAATAATGATCTCTTTATGGATTTTTTATTTAGGTATGAACATGGTTTGTTTCACGGGGTGTTTCGGTGTCTTGCCTTGAATCAAGGCATGTAAAAACGTAAAGCTTGCTTTTATCTATCTTTTTTTATTGTCACGTCTTTATCCATCTATGTAACGCTTAATCATCAATTATTATATTAAACTTCAATAAAGGCTGGTGTACCAAATTCATGGTTTGTTTTATCTGATTAGTGTACCAAATTCAATTGGAACTATATCAGATCCATGAAATTATTGATTATTGATACATGCAGGTTATGTGTGATCCTTATACACCAGCTGGTGTTCCAATTCCAACCAACAAGAGGCACAACGCTGCTAAAATTTTCAGACACCAATCGTTGCCTCCGAGGAGCCTTGGTATGCTCATCTTCTTGTTTTTTGGCTATACATATTATTTTCGTTACTATAAATTCTAATAGTGTTTGTTTTTTTTAAACGATTGTATGTTTTGGATGAATGAAAGCAACCACGATGCATTAAGAAGATTCAAGTGATGTTTCAATTGATCTTTTATCTTTAATTTATCGATTTTCTAATTTTACAAAAATGTTCTCACCGAGTAGAATATACTTTTGAGTTTTGAGTTAAATCTTTCACAGTCTGTTGTGGATTAGCAACGTTTCAAGCCATATTAACTATTGTGTTGTGGCAGTTCGAAAGATTCATATAAATTGGACTATTGCTACAAAAAAAACAGAATCACAGGTTTAATTCTATCAAAGGAGATAAAGCCTCTTATCTCTACTGTCTTTGAGGGTAAAGATGCTAATGTCATCGCCCACGGAGCAAGAAATTGCGGAAAAACATATCTCATACATGTATTGAAAGCAATCCCATTAAGGTATTGATTATCAGACATGATACTATAGATGAAAAATGCTAATTATTGTATCGCATGGTTTGTAGGGAAATGATTATGCTCTGACGCTCAAAGGAAACAGACACCTTTGACTGTGTCTGCTACTTCTAGAAAACAGACAGTGCTAAGGGGAAATGTGACAGAGAGAAAAGACTAAAATCAAAGCAAGGTAAATCTTTCAGAAACAACTTTGTATCAACTCTAAGCCTCAATATCCATGATATACCTGCATCTGCTCTGTTGTTCAGTTTTAGAACATCAAATAATGATGATTTTTTTTCTCAATGTTTGAAGGAAACTGTTCCGCGAAGCAAACGATTCAGTGAAATGTAAAAATAGCATGTTGGAAAATTTAATTAATACGTCATGAAGTGGAATAATCTAGATTCTTCCTTTACAAAGAGGTAAAACAGAGGGTATAGAAACAGAGACTAAGAGACCAAGAGTCTTAATTAAGGAGGTTTGGTATACCACTTAACCCTAATCAATCCACTACTTACTTGATAAAGACATATTCTCATCATGTATATTTGATTAGATTAGCTAGGCTCGTAATATGGGACAAAACCCCGAAGATGAGCAAGAAATGCTTTGAAAGATTTTATCGTAGCATGAGTGTCATATCTGCACCCTTCAGTGCTCCCTTGTAAAATCAAAGTATCTGAGTATAGATACTTAATAGGTTTAAGTGTTCTTCGATCTTGGACGATATGTTCCAACTTATACTGATACAGAGGTTATACAGATTTTTGGTTTTTCTAATAAAATAAATTGTTTGCTGAAAGATTGCTATACCTTTAACAATTTTATTTTGTTTGTTAGGGTCACGACATACATACTATAATTGATAGAGAGTATTATCGTCATCGTGGATTCAGGTTTTTCCAAGGACGATAGATACATGGCCGGCCCTATAGACATCAACAAGAAACTTTTGCTGTAACCCAAATTTTGTTTCTGAAATTCTTCAACAAAAATTATTTATGAAACGGACCTAATTTTATTTATTTTACTATAATTGGCCCTAAATTTTAAAACCTTTCAAAATAACCAAAAACTTTTTTTGAGTATTTGGCCCTTCAAATCTCAGGGCAGGCCCTGGATGGATAACACTTAGAGATTTTGATTCATGTTATCGGTTTGCTTAGTCATACTTTTTATGATTTTAAAATTCATTGGAATTTATCAATCTTTGTTTCACATATACCTTCCTTGGGTGCGATTGATTACTGCGCATTCGCATCTTTTAGGAAAATTGATACTTAATTTTGAGTATGTTTATTTCCCTGGTCCCATAATATCTTTTGTTTGGATATTTTATTCTTTGCATTGTTATGGTTTGATCTATTAATTTAAATAATTATATTTAATTGGTTGGGTCGTGAGTGTTAGAAATATTGAAGACGGAAAACCAATAATAAAGTGTTGGATCAAGTTTATGTGGAATTAGAAGATGAATTATAAGTTATTAATTTAATCAAAATTAGATTTGTTATAGTTTAATTTGGGTAGTATGCTAAAAACTTAATTTTATAATAAATTTACGTCTATAATGTCGACTACATGGTGGATACTGTTGTAAATTTTTGAGAGAACGGAGTAAACAATGTGATAATATCACCATATTTATCATGAGATTCACTAGAATAGAAGTCACTCGAGGTATTCGAATATTGTTGTTTTTCATGTATATATAATTTCTGAATATTTATTAGCCGATCACGTTTCTATGATATTGTTTCTTATGGTTTTGGCTACTATTGTTTGCAATGGCACCCGAATGATGCTAAAAAATATGTGTGCTGAAAGTTGCAGGAATGCAGAGTTGTTTTGTGCTAAGGATCACAGAAATTTTTATTAGTTACTAAGCTTATCTATTTTTTTTGTTTCCATTTTTCCGAATTATTTTTTTCCTAAACATGTAAATATGATCTAAAATGAAGTTTGAGGCTTTACAAAAGATAAATAATTACACAAAAGCAACCTTGGCAAAAAAAGAGATAAAAACAAGACTACAGTAGAGTAAAGAAAGATTTGGAAATAGATAACGAATCCAAATAAGCATAAGCTTTGTTCATCTCGAAGTGATGATGTTTCGTAGCTCCACTCCACCATCTTGAAAATGATTTGAGCAGCAAGCCGCAAGGAGTTATGGAGAATGTTATTACGCTGTCGCCAGAACTTATAAACCACCACTTGAGATGCTACTTTTCTAAGCAAAGAAGGCACATGACTGGAAGAGCGTCAGGTCCAAGAAAATAGCTCAATCCAAGAGCAAAACAACCTTTGTTGTGGAAAAATCCTAGAGAAAACTAATTCCACACCTGGAAAGAGCTCACAAAGGAGCAGAAGGTGATCATGAGACTTCGTTACAAAAATGCAAAGACGACACTCATCAGATTGAATTTGTCCTCAAGAAGCCAGTCTTTGATGAGTGGGCAATTCTTTAAAAGTGTAAGGAGAGGAAGAGCGTTGGGTCCAATAAAGTAGCTCAACCCAAGAGTATAACAACCTTTGTTGAGGATAAGGCCTAGAGAAAATCAAATTTCCCACCTCAGAAAAGCTCATAGAGGAGCAGGATGTGATCCTGAGACTCCGTAGCAAAAGTGCATAGACAACACTCATCGGATTGAATTTTTCCCTAGGAAACCAGTCTTTAACGACTGGAGAGGATGATTGGAGATTTATTTAAGTGTCTCAATAGAAGAAGAGCGTCAGGTGCCAGAAAGTAGCTCAACCCAAGAGCAAAACAACCTTTGTGGAGGATAAATCCTAGAGAAAACCAAATTCCACACCTTGAAAAAGCTCACAGAGGAACACGAGGTGATCCCGAGACTCCGTTGCAAAAGTGCAAATACAACACTTGCCCCCAAGAAGCCAGTCTTTGATGAGTGGACAATTATTTAAGTGACTCTCGACGGTTCAAGAAAGTAGCTCAAGCCAAGAGCAAAACAACCTTTGTCGAGGACAAGGCCTAGAGAAAACTAAATTACACACCTGGGAAGAGCTCACAGAGGAGCAAGAGGTGATCTCGAGACTCTGTTGCAAAAGTACAAAGACAACACTCATCGGATTGAATTTATCTCCAAGAAGCCAGTCTTTTACGAGTCGGCAATTATTTAAAAGTGTAAGGAGAGGAAGAGCGTTGGGTCCAATAAAGTAGCTCATCCCAAGATTAAAACAACCTTTGTTAAGGATAAGGCCTAGAGAAAATCAAATTTCCCACCTCGAAAGAGCTCACAGAGGAGCATGAGGTGATCCTGAGACTCCGTTGCAAAAGTGCGTAGACAACACTCCTCGAATTGAATTTGTCCCCAGGAAACCAGTCTTTAATGACTGAAGAGGACGATTGGAGCGAGATTTATTTAAGTGTCTCAACAGAAAAAGAGCGTCAGGTGCCAAAAAGTAGCTCAACCCAAGAGCAAAACAACCTTTGTGGAGGATAAATCCTAGAGAAAACCAAATTCCACACCTTGAAAAATCTCACAGAAGAACACGCGGTGATCCCGAGACTCTGTTGCAAAAGTGAAAATACAGCACTTGGCCCCAAGAAGCCAGTCTTTGATGAGTGAGCAATTATTTAAGTGACTCTCGACGATCCATGAAAGTAGCTCAGGCCAAGAGCAAAACAACCTTTGTCGAGGAAAAAACCTATAGAAAACTAAATTTCACACCTGGGAAGAGCTCACAGAGGAGCAAGAGGTGATCTCGGGACTCCGTTACAAAAGTACAAAGACAACACTCATCGGATTAAATTTGTCCCCAAGAAGCCAGTCTTTTACGAGTCGGCAATTATTTAAGTGACTCTAGAGAGAAAGAGTGCCGGATCCAAGAAAGTAGCTTAGTCCAGGAGCACAACAACCTTTGTCGAGGATAAAGCCTAGCGAAAACTAAATTCCACACCTAGGAAGAGCTCACAGAGGAGCATGAGGTGATCCCGAGACTCCGCTGAAAAAGTGCATAGACAACACTCATTTGATTGAATTTGCTCCCAAAAACCCAATCTTTGACGAGTTGACAATTATTTAAGTATCTCATGGGTAGAAGAGTGTCGGTCCAAGAAGTATCTCAGTCCAAAATCAAAACAATCTTTGTCAAGGATAAATCCTAGAGAAAACCAAATTCCATACCTCGAAAGATCTCACAGAGGAGCAGGAGGTGATCCCATACTCTGTTACAAAAGTACAAAAACAACACTCATCAGATTGAATTTGCTCCCAAGAAGCCAGTCATTGACGAGTGGGCAATTATTTAAAATAGTCTGGAGAGGAAGAGCATGATATCAAAATTAACGTAAGAGTTTTGACATCAATATCTTTAGGATAATGGAAGGAGTTTCCAAATGAACATAATCTTTAAACTTCAATGTCTTGTAAAAATTGAAGGATTTTGTAAGTTAACATAATATTGTCGATGTCACATTATTGTCATTGTCACATTATTAAATTCGAAGTCAAGAACTATTGGTACCTTCGAAATTTCTGTTGTTTGTAGTTGTGAGCGTCTCCGGTATCGACTACCGTGGTTTTATGTCAATAAATTTTTCGCTGAGTGGAGGCAATGTATTGATGAAAGTATTTTGTTTTGGTTTTGTTATTTAACATGTATTGTTGGGGTTTGAGACATTGAAACTATATTCCTTTGATAATTAAGGTACACGAAGAGGTACTGCTTCATACAAGTGTTCGCAGATTCTATTCAATCATTCTTGTCATGATGTAACGAGGATGCGAGATATCTTTTCCAACAAGAAGAAAGGACAAATGTCACACATCCAATTTTGATCTTTTGATTATCTTTGGTTGTTGATGAGCAAACCAAGACTACTAAATTTATACTTTCTGGTTCTAATGATTTTAGTTTTCCGTTTTGCATTTTACTATATTCAGAGGATAATAATCACTATTTTCTCGCAATAATATATCAAACGTTATGGCGTTTTACCATAATTTTATATTAATGTCGTTATAAAAATTATACTCTTGACAAAATTAAATCAATAATTGTCTAAAACTTATAACCCTAAATGACTAAATCTGGTTTTAATCAACATACAACCCCGCGCCGGGCGCGGGGACCTCCCCTAGTTATATATATATATATATATATATATAGAAATTAGAGTTTCAAAATCTACGATCAATATTTTATATATCAAGGATAGTACTGAGACCTAAATTACCACACATTTAAAATGACACAGGGTAATTCAAACCAAACAATTTAGAGATATCAACTTATCTTCCATGATGGAGCTATTCGCATATATCTTTCCCGATTTTTGGAATTGTGCAAGAGCAAGACTAATATAAGCTACGTCATATTTTTCCTCTACTCCACCAATTATATATTTTCATTTTTATAACTAATCCTCCAAACATAATTATGCTTTGGGACTATCATCCCTTCTAGATATCAGATATCTTAAAAATCAAAATCAATAGTACTATGATTTTTTTTTTTGGTTTCACTATTAGATTAGGCTTAGCTAGATATATCGCCTAATCCGAGTTTTGCTTCATGTTTTTTTTTTTTGGTTTCCAAACTAATAAGCATATGTTATACTACGTACTACTAATATAATCATTCACGTTCAGAGCGGTTATGTATTATTTCACAATCACACGTACGTAAAAAAAGAAAAACTCATTCATAACAATTTATACATAATCACTTGAGATTAAAAAGAAGGAGTGATTCTAATGAGAAGACCCGGGAATAGATCATCGTGGTCATGTATATGAGGATTCCCTTCAACAATATAAGGATCTCCACACTTCTCACTTATCGTCTGCAACGTCTCTCCTTCTTTCACTTCATAAATCTCATCACATGCTGGCCGTCGATCAGAATATCCGGTGATCATCATCGACGGCTGTTGTTGCTCTACGATCTCCGTGGAACCCTCCTCTGCCACCTGGAAGGAGTTCATCAGCAGCATCATGGCGGCAAACACTGCACAGTACCAAGAGATCTTCTCTGCTACTGCCATGGAAGAACTCTTACCCATTCTGAATTATATTTAGGGATTTTGTTTAAGAGGTGATTATAGGAAAAGGGTTTGTGGATTGAAATATATGTATTAGATGCGTGTATGGATTAAGTTGATTATGAAAGATATCGTTGTTGTTGGAGTTGGTGTGAATATTGGCGGGAGTTGAAACGGTTGATAATTAATGTTGCAGGTTCCTTTTGTGTTAGGTCACTTGTCTTTGAATCCTTTTCCATTCAACTTTTAATTACTAGAAAACAATAACATGTAATATATATGATATTATATTTTAAAAATGTAAGTTATGTGTCAAAATAAAAAAATTATAATGATAGGAGAATGATAAAACATACTGTATATAATTTGCAAAGAGCTGGCAATAATAACAATAAAAGATAAAGAGGATTACAAACCATTTTTCCCTTTTCTAAATACACTCATATATATGTATATCTGTCAAGGTATTTACATTTGAATGATATGAAAATTTACCACACTTCAATATAGTATGTGATTTTTTCCCTATTCGAAATAACAATTTATTAATATACTTTAAGCAAAGATTTCTCATTCTTTCAAGAGAATTTTGGAGAAATAAATATTATTACCCACATAAGTTTTTACTTAATTTTTCCTTCTTTCAAATCAACTATTTTTTATGATCTGAAATTCACTTTTAAATTTGTATGGATCAATAACTCTGAAATTCACTTTAGGTTAATAAAATAATAAATTTGCTAAAGATCACATACGGACCCATGAGGTTCTTACAATCAAATAAATATCCATACTGAATAAAACACCATCCTCAAAACCCATGGGCCAAGCCCAATCAAGCTTAAAGATGCAAAAAAATATTGTTTGATATATATTTTTTGGTTTTAGTGAGATTCAATTTTTTCTAACCAATATTGAAAGAGGGTGAAATTTTTTTTTTGCAACTAATTTTAAATCTTAGAGGGAAACCTATCATAGACTCATAGTATAATAAAATCTTATTAGATCATCTAATATGTGGCGAAAAAATAAAATTAAAAAAGATCATCTAATATGTGATAAGCTATACTTTTTTTTTTTTTTTTTGGATAATTGGCGAAGTGATAAGCTATGCTTTGTTCTTCCCTTCTTTTCTTCCATCGTTGTTTCTTTGTTCTTTTTCTTTTTACGGCATCTATATTCGTAACTCTTCCAAAATATTTCGTTAATCTTCTATGAAGATTCTAATTAAGTACTCCCTCCGTTTCAAAATATAAGACGTTTTAGCTAAAAACACGCCGATTAAGAAGATCTACTTTTTAAAAGTTCAGCCAATCATAGAAGAGACTGCATAATAAAAATAATCATAAAATATTAAAGTAATATATAATTTGCATAAAAACTTGAAAACGACTTATATTTTGAAACAAAAAAGTTTCTCCAAAACACCTTATACTTTGAAACCGAGGGAGTATATGCTAAAAATATGTTTTCTTGCCCAACTATTCCCAATATATAATTAGTTGCCCATAGCACGAAAGATAATTTAACGGCACGTGTTGATAGTACATTAGTTAATCTATTGAAAGATAGATAGTGAGAGTGTACTATTGGGATAAAGAGGAAGGCTGGTGGACTTCCATTTTGGCTCCTCCTCTTCCAGCCTGCTTTTTCATATCTTTATCTTTACACACATTTTTTTGTAATTCCCTAATTACATTAAATTTATATTAAGTACAAAATTGAAACCGTTAAAGCTTATAAAAAGTCTTAGAATATCACAAAGTTTTTTATTTGTCCACAATGTTTATAAAGTCTTTTGGAGACTTTTTCAATTCTGCCTATAACCAATTTAGAAGTTATTCTGAGTAGTTTAGAACCATTCTTAAATCTCTTTAGTAATAGTTTTGGTACCTTTGAAATATTCTAACATTTTTCATTTTTAAAAAAATATATAGCAACTAAAATCGGTTTTGAATGTTGGTTTTTCTTTAATATGGCTTCGTTGTTACTCCTCATGTTGTACTTCCTCGTGTCATGCCTCAACTTGCCCGTCACTCGTATCTTCACTTATCGTCACTCGTTTTTGATAGTTGCAAATTTTTAATTACATGTTCATTATTTCCTATTCTACTTTTCTCGATATACACTTTTTTCTAGTAACATCTCCTTTATTAATTAATAACTAGATCATCACCCGTACTAAAGTACGGGTTAAATTTTATTTATTACCAAATTTATATAATATATATATATTAGAACTAAGTTTTAATATATTATAAATTTATAATAGTAAGTGAAAAAATATTAATTTTTTTGTCAGTACCTATATACAATATTAGAATTAGAATAAATATAGATTTTTTTCTATAATACTCAATTGTGGATAATTTTTTTTTTAAGATATGAAAACGGAAAATAATTTTATTTTTAAAAAAGTAATATTTTTTGAACAATGAGTTAATTTATGTTAACAACCACAAAATAGGATTGCATATATTTTAGTTAGATCAAAAATTAAAATATCATAAATAAATCGCATATAAAACATAGATTATTTTGAACTAATTAAGAAAATTAGCTATTATTTTGAATTAATTTAGAAAATTCCTTTTCAATTTATAATTCTTTGGTTGTTGAAATTGAGATTTGTTTGAGCTAATCTAATTACAGAATTTTTTTGAGATTTATAACTACAGAATTTACCAATTATTCGCATAATCGAATATGTTATAAACATATATTTAGTATATAATAATACCAAAATTAACCTGTGCGTGGATTCTATATTTTTATTTTAGAATCTCAATATTTCATTTTAAAATATTATGTGCACAATCTATTATTCGTTAATTCTAAAATTGCTTGTGGAATTAAATTTTCAAATATTTAGAGGTGTCAAACCATATTTAAATGTTCTACACTATTTTTAAATATTCCAAATTAAAATATTTAAATTTTTTTGTAGTTTATAAAATTATGAATTTCAAAAAACAAATTATATGAAATTAAATATAACTATTCAAATAGTTATAAGGATCAAAACTCATTTCATCATATAATATATTATATTTTACTCGCTACCTATTATAAATATTTTTAAAAATAATCAAATTAGAGTATTTATAATTTTTAACTTTTTGAACTATTAAGTATTGATGATATTCTCTAAAAATATCAAGTAAAACTTATTTTAAATGTTGCAAAGTAAAATATTTAATTTTTTATTGTAGTATATAAAATTATACATTTCAAAAAAATAAATGTATGAAATCGAATATAAATATTCAAATTCTGACCCGTTGCACAGTTGGAATTTTTGTTGAATTTATTTTTGTCTAAAAGAAATATATTACTCAAGTCTGAATTTTTGACCCGTTTAATTGTTTCCTTTATAGATTGAACAATTTATATGCGTTTTTTAAAATTCAAATCTTGGCATATGCAGAAAAAAAATTACTTTTTTTTTTAATTATGTAGATGATATGATGATTTATTTGTTTCATATAAATATAATCATATAAAGATGAGAGGTGAAGTTTAATGATTAATAACAAATTAATATGGTAAGTTAGATATCAAATCTTATATGTTCATTTTGATTGGTCATTTAAAAAATAATAATAATAACAGATTTTCGTTTTATAATTTAATTAAATTAATTAAATGACATAAATTAGTATTTTACTTGTTTATCCTTAATAAATTGAATGAAATTTGTTCTAAAATAAGATTTTTATAATGGCATTCTTAAGTAATTTTTTACAAAAAGAAAGGTTAGTTAAGGGTATCTTATAAAGTGTACTTCCCAAATAATTATATAGGATACTTAAACTTGCTCTTGTTGTGGCAGCGTCATCTAAAGGGAACTCTACCAAATGGTGATAATACGACTTATAGAAATACAACTGAACTTCGAATTTCATATTAAATTTCTATTATTAAAAATTATTCATAAATAAATAAATAGGTAAAACGGTAACGAAAAAATTTGAAATTTAGCTAAAAAAAGAATTTAAAAAAATAGTTAAAAGATGTTAATTATTTCTGATAAGTTACATGTTTAATCCGGATTGTGTTATCCTTTTAGTTTAGATTTGAGCTGTACGTGAGTTCTAAATTTTTATGAAACAGAGATTAAAAATGTGATTTGAGAATAAAATAGTGTACACAATTGATGCATCTTAGAAAAGTTAAATAAACTTTTGAACAAAAAAAATAAGGTTAAATAAACTAAGCCTATCAAACGAATGTTTGTGGTTACATGTATCACGAAATAAATTTGAATTTGTAAAACCAATTAATTACTCTCATGCATCACATTCCGAAAACATATGGTTTTGCTTCACCTAATGAAAAATAATTTAAAAATTAAAGTCAGATGACAAATTATTGTTCCCCTACAAATAAACATTCTTAACAATATCTTTGGGATATTCTAATCCTAAACCAAACCCAATCAAACGGTTTGCGTACATCATTTCCCCACTTCAAGTATCAAATTGATCATTATTAGAAGTTTTATATTTCCTTAACACATGATCATAATCTTACTTGAACCGTCCAAATTTTAATCCTTAGAAAAATCTAATAGAGACGATTGGTAGATTTAAATCCCAAGTTGACAAAAAAAGAAAGATATCAAGTGGTTCTCTTCTTACAAGGTATCAAACACGTTATGGATTTTATCTCACACGGTCCGAAGTTTGACCCATATAATAATAATTTTCTTTTTCTGGTAAGGAAAAGTGACTTTATGTTTTGTAATAAAACAAATCAAAATATACTATATAAATCAAATAAGTGACACCATCATGACAACATTTAATCAAAATATATACGATATGATCGTCGAATAGTGTTTTCATTACGTGTTTTGTAACCACTAATTGGATTACATTTCGTTAAATTAACATAATAAGCAAAATAATAGAAGAAAATAGAAAAATAAAATACCGTTAATAAATTACATTTCGTTTTTTTGCTATTTAATTTTAAGCAGCGTCGTCTCTGTTTTCGCCGTTGTTTCCTTCTTCTTCTCTCTTTCTCTTTCCTTCACGCTCTCTCTGTTATATCTCCTTTTTCTCTTCCCAATTCTCTCATCGATCACTGAATCTTCTTCTTCTTCTTCCTTCTCTTAAGAACAGGTAAAACTCAATCCCTCTCTCCTCTTCTCCTTCTTTTTCTCTCCTCTCTCTTCTCTCTTTTAATAAAAAAAAAAACCCTCTCTCTTTTTTTTTTCATTTCTGGTTTTTTTTCTTCTTTTGGTTGCCGAGAAAAAACAGAGGAAATTTTGCGATTTCTGTTTTTTTTCCTCGGTGACCAGAATCGGTTCGTTTTTTGTTTTTTTTTTTAACAAAATCTTTTCTTATTGTTATCGTTACCTAATTAATGAATCTTTTTTTGTTGTTGTTAATTTACAGATTATTTTCAACGAGCTTGATCGATAAATTCTCAAACTTTATTCTTCTTCAAGATCCATGGCGGAAGAACATCGATGTCAGACACCGGAAAGCAACCGTCTCTGTGTTAACAACTGTGGTTTCCTCGGCAGCTCCGCCACCATGAATCTCTGTTCTAATTGCTACGGCGATCTTTGCCTCAAACAACAACAACAATCCTCCATCAAATCCACCGTCGAATCTTCCCTCTCCGTATCTCCTCCTTCATCATCATCGGAGATCGCTTCCATCTCTTCTCCGATCATCCCTCCTCTCCTTAAAACTCCCTCCGTAAAGCTAGAGGTACCGGAGAAAAAGCCGGTGAATTCGCCGCCGGAGCAGAATCAGCAACAGAGGCCGAATCGGTGCACGACGTGTAGGAAACGGGTCGGGTTAACCGGATTCAAGTGCCGGTGCGGTACGATGTATTGTGGGGTCCATAGGTACCCGGAGATCCATGGATGCAGCTACGATTTCAAATCGGCCGGTCGTGAAGAGATCGCGAAAGCGAATCCGTTGGTGAAAGCAGCGAAGCTTCAGAAGATTTGATCAGAGCCGTTCGATGCGTTGACTTTTCTCGTAAGTCTTCAATTTTCTACGCGTATGTGTGTCCTCCGTCCCCCGAGAAATACGGATGGTGTCGATTTGATCTCAGCCGTTGGATCAAATGGTTTATTATTGTAAAAGATTGATTATGTATTTATCAAAGGGACACGTGTCACGTGGTTTTAGGATGGAGATGCTTTCGCTTTCTTCTTCATTTTCCTTTAATTTTATTTTCTTTTTCCTTCAGAAAGAAATAAGATTATTCGCATTGGCTTTTTTTTTTTTTTTTTTTTTTTTAATTCCGGCTTATTATTATTATTGTGTGGCTTTTGCGTGTACAAAGTCTATTCAGAAAAATCATAAAAGTTATACATTTCCGTCAATTAGATTTGGACTTTTATACACTCTTGAATATTATGATTTGATATGGATGTGGAATGTGTTGAAGAAGGCTGATAATTACATGTCTTTAATAAGGCTCTTTTTAATTAGATGGTTCCACCTAGAATGAGCATTAGGTGGTTAAGACTCAAAAATGATGAATTAACCAACGAATTTAGTTCGTCTCGCACGGTGCAGGGAAGTTCAACTAGTAGTATCAAAAATGGCTACATATATATTTTAGGAAAAGTATATGATTCAAAAGTTTGGGTATCCGCAAAAAAAAATTGGAATTTGTAACAATTCAATATAGTTTCTTTTAAATTGGAATTGGAGTATTAATTAATTAAAAGATTTATATAAATTTACCTTTTGAGTTATTTTTCTACAAAACATAAGAGGGAAAAAGAGCTTAAAATGATTAATGATATGGTGAATTAGATCTCACCTCTAAAACGATTTGAACGACAATGTGATGATGCTCTAGGGCTTTCGAAAGATACTTCATCGGCAATAAATGACATCGCGTCGTTGTTTCTATGCCACGACCAATGTGCTCGTTTATGGTCTATAATCCTTAATCTCCCATGCCCAAAACTCGATTCACGGAATACCGACAAAGGTGACTGAGGCTTTTTGAACCTGTAATTTTAGTTTGCTTATCCAATTCAGTTAAATAACCAAAAAAAAAATTACAAACAAACAAAACAATTTGATTGGGTGAAAAACATATTAATTAATTAGATTAGTAATGGCCTAATTGGAGGTGACATACCGTAAAGCAAGGCCTTCTCGGTTGCCACCGTCACCGATGGTTATGTACATTGGTCCACATGGGTCGGCCTTCTTGTTGTATATCGGCTTCTGCATTTGTCCATAATTTGCAATTATTAAAGTAAAAGAGTAATTTTAATTAAATTTACATTTATTATATATGCATGTAAGTATAATTTACAGGAATTCTAAAACAGTAAACCACTAAGATCAATCACTAAACATAATCATATAAATTCATTACGCAAAACTAAATTAAAGAAAGGTTGATGAAGATGGGAGGTACTTACGAAACGTTCGTAGGTATGAACGTGGCCGGCAAAAACGACGTCTACTTGAGCACGATAGAGCAAACTCTCCAGGGCATTTCTCATTTTCTCTCCTTCACCATAATGCGCCTTGTTTGTACTGTACCATGGCATGTGCATCACCACCACCAACCATGGCGTCTTTTTACGGTCAACCTCCCTCACACACAAAATGATATACTTTTCAAGAACTAATAGAATAGTTGAATTATTTTTTATTTTAAAACGTGTCTCGTGTAAAAGTCCAGACTAGTCTTCTGGTAGTTTCTGTTATGTAAATTTTGCAATGGCTAACTTAGAAATGCGATAAATAAATAGTGCAAATTCTTAATTTATATCCCAAATAGTTACCTTTCTTAAATCAGCTTGGAGCCACTGATACTGATCGGAGTGGGAGTCATAGGGGGTGTAAGAACCAAGCATAACCGTGTGGACGCCTGCTACATCAAAAGAATAGTAAAGATTGGAGTGAGAGAGGCTCTCAGCGTGAGGCATGAGCCATCGCGCATTGTAGGACGTGAAGCTTATTTGGTCATTGATCGGGAAAGACTCGATCTCGTGGTTCCCCTCCGTGACCATCCACGGGCGGGTGCTAGCCAAAGTCTCTAAGAGGCGGCCAAAGGAGTCCCAAAGTGGCTGGTGGGTGTCTGCGTAGGAGAGGTCACCGGGAAGTAGGAAAACATCGAAGTCCCGTTTCATCATCTGATCTAATGTGCTTAATGTCCAATCGGTTTGGCCTAGGTCACCTTCAATTTCACATAAAATACCGGTTTTTCGTATGTCCACAATAAGCCATTAGTGTTCACTTTATGAATCAACATGTAATTGATTATGAACCAATTCATGCATGGATAACCGACGATAATAATTAAAAATAAAATAAAATGATGAGACGTGTCTATAAACTATAAAACTTTGAGATTTTGGCGTATACTTCAGAACAATCAAACTCCAACGGGAAAGTTGTGGACATGTATAAAAAGTGGAATGCATGTAACTTCCTGCACGGTTTGCATGCTATTGCATAAATATATTTAGTCCAATTTTAAGTATTTTACTAAGCATGACGTTTATTGAAAACCGAAAATGAAATAGATGGACAAGCTTAGACGGAGTATGAACCAATCACAACTCGAAAATAAGAAAAATACTTATCTTTATATTTAATATATTTGGATCACTCCACTCACTACTAATTAGTTTTGAGATTAGTTTTGAGTTGAAAGTTCATGAGTCATCTCCCTTTTGTCTTATCACAATATTTCTACGTACACTTTTTTTTTGCCAAAAGATGGTTAAGACTTAAGATGTAAAGTTATCATCCCTCTCTAAGCCTAAAACTCATAAGCAATTAGACCTTCCATTCCAAAGGGATCCATCAGTGTTAAAATCTTGAATCCCAATAAATGACAAAACAGTGATAAAATGAAGAAAAGAGAGTTAAAGAACGGACTATTACCAGCGACGGCAAATTCGATCGGAAATTTGGATGGAGGGGTTTTGAAAGAAAATTCGTCACCGTGACCACCACAACGGTAATAGTATTTGGTGTTGGGTTGAAGAGGACCAATCTTGACATGGTGGATCTTGCCAGAGTTGTAGAAGAAGTATCTGTAAGAAGTAGATTCTCCGGCGGTTTTCTTGTCGTACTTTTTTGGATGTTTACCGTACTCCACCATCGATGCCACATGCATGTCGTCCGTTGTGTATGTTACTCTCATGTGGTCTTTACCCGCCAATGATATGTGTACCTATATATGTCTATATTAATATATAGATGATCATCTTTAACCAATAGAAATAAATGAGTATATGCATGCATGCCACAGGCCCACAGTCCCTATAAAAAAGTTAGCTTTCAAAATCGTGTGGGCAATGAGAAAGAGATGTAAATGAACCTGTTGAGGATGGAACTTTGGACGCCCGTGAGAGACAATGAAGAGGGGACGAGGTGGCGGGCGGGTGAAGTTCGAATCATAGTTAGCTTGACATACAAACGGAGAGAGCAAAAGGAGAGAAAAGCTAATTAAGAGACCAAAGATTTTCATCATCTTCATTTTCAAAGAGTTGATGTTGGTGAAGATGAAGGAGAAGAAGAAGATGTGATGGATTGATCAAATATTGAAGAGATCGGGGGATGTTTGAGGTTTGTTTATACAACTCGTCAAGTCACACAGTTTGTTTGTTATTATTTTGTTTATAAAAAAAAAAGTTTAATTAGGTTGCAGCTGCTTTATGCATCTTCCTATTATTTATTAAAAAAAAAAACAAATTAAATAAGAAATGTGAAGGTTTTTTGTAATTTTAATAAGCTTGATGACCCAAAAAAATAAAACTATTTTATTGTTATTATCCTGGTAAGTATTTTAAATGGAAAATAATACATTTGTCCAAATAAGTGTTTGGTAAAAGGCTAAAAAAAAGAAAGGATATATAATTTTTTTTAAGAAGAAACAAGATATACAGTAAAATGAAAAGACTATCTAGTAAAATTGTTTCAAGGAGGCAAATGTGCTTAGAGTATGGATCTAATTTTGTTAAAATATTAAGAAAGTGATGGAAAACTAATGAATACTACAAGGACGAAATTGGTCCACTTTTAAATTCCCAAGTTGATTGGTGAGTGGGCAATACCACTCAAGAACACATACGGGTGGTTTGGTACAATCCAACATAATGCGATAGTACTTATATATTAGACTTTACCAGTTCTTTTCTTTTATATGTTTTTAGTGGATTATTCTCAATGTTTCGGATATCCATGTTTGGACTAAATATCAGGTAAACTCCAGAGCGTACATACAAAAAAAATAACGATCTAGAAAAAACGGAGCAGATTACTCCCAATGCCCACCTCTAAAATCCAGCATATACCAAATTTTTATTCAAGATCTAAAATTACTAAGCTTGCTTTTCACAGAGAATTTTAACTCTTAACATTCTACAATCATAATATGTTATAGAAGACATTACTTATATACATGAAATTTTTCATTTTAACACAAAATTATTCTAAATGTTTGATTGAATACACTCGCTCCCCCAGTCAATGCCGGTCCAATGACAAAATGATATTTGTAGTTCCTTGCTATTCTACCAGCGATCCAATGAACAAAAGAAGTATAAAACGTTTTTTGGTATGATGATTTAGAGCTCATCACTGGAACGACTCGAAGGCCAACATGACGATGATGTGCTAAGACTCTCAAGCCAGACTTCATCAGCAAGAAGTGAGTTCGAGTCATTGTTTCTATGCCATGACCAATGTGCTCGTTTCCCGTCCATAACCTTCAATCTCCCATGTCCAAAACTCGATTCGCGGTATTCCGATAAAGGTGAAGGAGGCTTCTTGAACCTATGATTTAAGTTATAAGAAAAGAAAAAACAGGTTGCAATCAATTTATTGAATTCATTTAAATGATCAAATTTATTAAACAATAACCTTTAGATTGGTGGGAAAATATGAAATTATAGATTTGGATTTATAATGGGAGGTAACTTACGATAAAGCAAGGCCTTCTCGGTTGCCTCCGTCACCGATGGTAATGTATATAGGCCCACATGGGTCGGCCTTGTTGTTATATACACGTTTCTGCATCAATCAATTCGATATCAATTAATCCTTAATTAAATGGTACAATAATGATTTAATGAAATCTTCAATTAGAAAAAAAAAAAAAAAGATTAACGAAGATGAGGCTTACGAAACGTTCGTAGGCATGAACATGTCCGGAAAAGACGACGTCGACTCGAGCACTAAAGAGCAGACACTCCATAGCTACCCTCATGCTCTCTCCTTCACCTTCATGTGCCTCGTTCGTGTTGTACCACGGAGCGTGCAGCAACACCACCACCCACGGCGTCGTTTTACGGTCAACCTTTTTCCAATACAAAAAAAACCCCAAGATTGAACTCTTACG